ATTGTGAGTATAAAATAGAGATGATCTCACTGGAAGGCCTCTGTGTAATGCATGTAAATGAAGTACTTTATATGCAGAGGACAAGAATAATGCATCATCCCTTTTTTTTTGTGGAACATTATTCCACTGGAAATGACTCTGCTTTGTCTTTTCTTTATGCACTTTTTTTTTGTTAATAAAAGCTAAATTGAGTAAAGATTTACACATTGTTTCAGGAAGTTTGAAATTTGCTTCCATCATTCTCCAAAACAAGATCAGTCTGAAAAAAATAAATACATTTTGCCATTATTTTTTCAGCTGCCATCATTTAGAAAGTAATAAATAACCTATTGTTTTTAGAAAAACTTATTGATCATATTGATATTTAAGTTCAGACTGGTAAACACCAACTCCTTTGAAACTGCTTTTCTGTTTTGGCCTCAGCATTGTTTCACTTATGAAGTTTATGATCAGACTTTCTCTTGTGAATTCAGTTCATATTCCAAACAAGCCTTGACTCCAGCATAATGACCTGATTTGTGGAGATTAAAATTGCATGTTATCTTTAATTTTTACACAAGTAAAACATTTTAACCCTCGTTCTATTTTTATTTTGATCATGCCTTATAGACGATGAAAACCCCAAATTCAAACGAATAAGCTCGAAATAGTTCTGTCTTAATAAATCAATTTGAGTTCTTTTTTTAAATGATAGAACTATTTCATAATATTCTTTTTTTTCCTCTCATACCCACATGTTTGGTGTTATCTGGCCTTTAGGTACAAACTGTTACTCTGCTGTGGAACATTTTTAAATCAACAATGCTTGGATTCATACCAAGGGAACATTTTTTTCTCACTTTGATCACCAGATTCAGAATAATTTAATAACAGATAATTAAATACAAGTGGGCTGATGTTTTCAGCTCATATGTTCTCAATGCGATAAAAATCTGGAGTCTGAAGAAGTATGTGATGAAGAATTTGTTGGAACAATGGCTTACCACAGCTGTGCGGATTGTTTTGATAATATCGCTCTGGTATGTTGAACCAATTTCTTACTACTTTCAACAGTTTCCATGATGTATATCAAACTGCATCCCTTGGCTGACGGTGACAATAAACTGGAGCACTGCCGAGCTCTCTCCAGCGACGACGACAGCTACTGTGAAGTGGAGAGTGACGGGAGCAAGGACTGCCCAGGCCGAGAACCGTCTGCTTCATCTGCAGATCTCCACAGCTCAGGATACTCATCTGTCCAAAGTGTTAGCCCATCATCCACATGCTCCTCGTCCTCCCTCGTGACCCACACGTTCAGGACCTTTACCACATCCCTTGGCACGCCATCTGCCAAAGCCCAGCCAGGTTTCCGCCTCTTGGTGCCCATGCAGAGGCCCTGGGGGACCTCCACCAGACAGGTGAAGAGGAAGAACGTAGCGGCACATAGCGTAGGTGAGATGGAAAGGGAAGACGAGGATTTGGAGGATGATTTTTCAGCAGGCACAGGCTTCCTGAGCCTGTGAATGTCCACGACCACATGCTGTTCACAGACCACTTGCTCAGTTTCTAACCTGCAGAACTTTTAAATCGTCATCAATGTTCAACTATCCTGCGAGTCTGAGCTGGTCATTCAACTGCTAGAAGATCAAAGACAATAAGCATTTTAAGACTAGGTGAGAAAAAGGAACCGCTTCGCTCTTCTTTTCTATCACATTTCAGTTAGATGTTTACAGAAACGGAGAAGTAGAAATACCTCCCAGGAAACCATAGTCGACTCTAAAACCACTGGAATATCGGCTCGACTTTCCTCAGGAACCCAAAGTACTGGCTGCCCTTTCTTTGTGCAACAACCTATCTCAGATACCATTTGAAAAGAAACAAAAACCTCAATGATTTATTATTTTCAGGGGTAAAAAGTGTTCTTTGTTATTAAAAATACATGCATTATTGTCATGTTTGTGGTTGTTTTTGGTTGCCATCACCTCTGTTATGCACTGCCTGTACTGTATTTGAGTTATAACTGAAGGTGACTACTGTTATTGAAAATATCTGCAACCGAAGTCTAAAAAATAGTTTTCTAATGATTTTTCTTCCTGAGTTTTGTCGTCCTGCAGCTTTTCCAAAGGTACTGTGTTGTAATTAGTTTTCAAAAATAACAGCGCTGTGAAATCAGTCACTGAATTAAATGGCTTCAGTTCAGTTTTGTGCAAGCTGTGCTGTTGATGAATCATTTTGTTTACCTGTGGCACACTAATCCCATCAAGAGCCTCATACAGATGTTATCTTATTCACTAACATGCTCTGATGCTGAAGCAAAAAAATCAAAATCAAGATACTTGCTGGATTTTTACGTTTTGAGAAGAGCATTGAGGAAATGTAAAGTTAGGTTTCCTCCAAACTGAATCAAGTTTAGCACTTTTATCATCACATGTGTGCAGAGGAATGTACCATTCTTCCTAATGTTTCTCTTAACGTTCAGTATTGAATATTTTTAATGAATGTGTTTCTTTATTTAACACAACACACTAGAAGAAACCTTGCAGGGTTTTTGTGCCTCATTCAGGATACAGAAGACATGTTGTCTAAATTGCTGTGACTGACTAAATACATTTTTAAACTGTTACTCCAGCCTGGTGGTTTTTTTTTTTTTAACAGTGTACATATTGTTATGTATAAATGGGAGAAAGACAAAGACCATGCCACTACTACTTGAAATCATATGACTTATTCCCAAAAAGATTTTCTTATTGTTTTTCTACAGTTCAGTGTTTTCTTTGATGTCCACATTTAATTTTTGTACTGTTTAAATAAAAAAAAAAAGTCATTAAGCTTTGTTTTTGGGCATCACTTTTATTACTTTACTATTCAAAGTATAATTCCTCCACATCCCATAGTTTTCCACTTTTTTAATGCTATAACCACATGGTTTCATCAATATAGACCAACAATTCGTTTAGAACAGCTAAGGGCAATGAAATATGGACTTTAAATTATTCATTGTAAAAAACAAAATATAAAGATCACACATGAAAACATTCTTATAACTCTTACCCAGGCAGAAATGATACCACAGACTGTATATTTAGCATGTCACTAAAAAAGCTGTAACAGTTGGAAATATGAAAAGTTGGACAAAATAGCATCCCCACAGCATGATGCTGCCACTGCTATGGTTCCCTGTCAGGCGGTGTGTGTTCTGTAATTTTGAAAATGTGTGAAATTTTAGCCTACAAAATTAGTAGGATTCCTAGAACACTGAAAGACCTTTTTTTGTGGCTAATTTTAGGAAAAACATAAATAGTACCAAAGAGATAATGTATTCTCTATGCATCATTGATTCTGTCCATGTGAGAGCATCAGACTGCATAATTGGAGGGCAACAATTAAGATGCATTATGGAAATCAGCTGGATCTGGCCATTTGATAATTGGAGCTAATGTTTTAAATTAATGCCTCTACCTCTGACACAGTGTTCTATTTTTTTTAGCTTGTTTTTTTTTATATAATTTTTTGCTGAAGCTATTCCCTTGATTGTACATGATCAGAACCATTTGGTTTCAATGAGGCACATGGTTATCTTTGATGCCCCTACTGCCCTTTTTGATTTTTTATTTATTTATTTATTTTTTATATTTTTAATCTGTGCATCAGAAGGCCTGCTTGTGCCCCTCAGCAATAATATTTTGCTAAATATTTTAATTTAGCAAAATAAACTAGTCTGGCTGCCCTTGGTCTTATAATGTCTCAGTTTCTCTTCCTCCATGATGTTCAGACTCCGGGTCTATGGTGAGGAGGAGGATCTGCGCCCTCTAACTATCAAATTATGGGCAACAATATTCTTTTCATACACTGGTTTGTGAATAAAAACATAGGTCTGATGTTGATGTTAGAAAACTGTTTCTATTTATATTTTCATAATTGTCCTCGCAATAGCGGGACAAAACCATCCTCGCCCCTAAACACAGAAAATCTTCGACTGCAGAGAAACTTCTGATTTTAACTTAGTGGATCCCACCGACAGATGCGCATCGCAGCGGCTCTTCATGCAGGGCCGGCCCCAAGATAATATGGGGCCTTAGACAGATCCCTCCTATACCCCCCAAACCCTTCCCACTGAGAATCTCAGCATCACTAACATGTTTAAATATAGATAAGGTGAATCTATAAGAGGGAGACCAGGTTCATTGACTGAGTTTTAAATCAATTAAAATCAATCAATCAATTATAAATCATTCTGCAGCCAAGTTATTTTAGAGGTTAAATAGATATTATTAGGGCTTAATTAGTAAAATGGTAGCAAATTTGCTTATTTCATAACCAGGGACCTTCTCTCTTCTGGTCTATTTAACAGCTACAGTCTCAGATCGACTCAGCCCTCCAGGACTGTCAGCAGCACAAACAGCAACGTTATAGCCTACCTGTTGGGAAAATATATTACATTTGCTTTGCATTGTCCCCACATGATGGCAATGATACAGTATGATCCAATTAAATTCTGGATTGTTGCTATGTTGTTGTTTGGTGTTTCAAGCTCTTGTTCAATGTGCCCCTTTTAAACTTTGAGCCCCTGCCCCTCCAAAGGTCTCTGCACTGCCCTGGCTTCAACAGGGCATAACATTGTAACGAATGTATTTTTACAGCTAATCAAATGATCTAACCTCGTTGCACTGTAGTGCAGGGGGAAAATATTGGAAAATCATTTCCATTAGTCTGAATCTTCCTGTTTGCTTGGGGGAAAATTTTGCCACTAAGTGTTACAACAATTTTACTTGTGCCAAAACAAAAAGACAGAAGGCAAGGCTGAAACGAAGTGTCATTTTTAGTGATATTGGAAATGAGTATAACACATATTATATTACTAGGTTGTCATTTTTTACTATATATATATCCATTTGTATTGTTTTTACAATGATTTGAAGCAGGACTGAAATATTTCTAAAAAACCAAAACCCCCAGCTGCTGAAATCACGTGACACTCCGACTGTGGTCACGTGTTCCGTGTTTTGTTGACGTTTCTCGGTCGCTGGCTTTTTGTGGATGAATGTAGACTTTATCCAGCCGCTGGTGCAATGTCATCGGCCTCTCTGGCAGGCAGCAAACTGGAAGGGAAACAGCCGGCCGAGCTTCGCCGCCAACGCGCTTAGCTCCTCCAGATGCAGCCGCACATCGACAGCGAGGCTCGCTGTGATGTTTTACGGACCGGAGTGAGAAAATAAGGAGGAAATTGTTTTCACCTCGACTGGAGGAGAGGAAGAGATAAAGAGCGAAAGACCACCGTTCATATTCCGAAACTGTTTAATTCGAAGGTAACTTTTCATATTTGCATAATAAAACTTTAAAATGTCAATCCCAGCTACAGCCCTGCAGATAAATGGAAATGTAAAACATCAATATTTCGTCTTTTTTGTCCAACGTTTCCACCTAGCTCCATCGTTTTGCATTCATGAGATCCCTTAGGAATTGACAAGCAGCTCTGTTGTCCAATCAGAGGAGCGAGAATTCGGGCTCTAGCCAATCAGAGAAGAGAAAGACAATTTCTGGTTTTCAGGAAATGGTCCACGTCTTTTAAGGCATTATTGTTTACTAAATCAGATAAACAAAGAATTCGTTGTCTTTTCGATACATAACACATGACCTTGTAAACTGAATTAGGTAACAAACACGTAACATAAACCCAGAAATATAATTTCGGTGCGAAAGTCAGACAAATGCTGCCATTGTTAGCGTTATTACGCGTTCAGACTTAATTACGTGATTATGCATTGGCAGAAATAAGGCAAACATGCTTTGAACAGTTTGTCCATTTGTGAAAAATAATGCTATTTTAACCCGAGCACTTCTTTTTTCTTCTTCTTCCTTTTTATTTTTATTTATTTATTTATTTTTACCATACCTGACAAATGGATCGCTATAGTTATATTTGCATTGGTCTTTTTTTTTTATCGTTATAAATGTATTGTCATATGTGGTAAAAACTGACTTTAAAAATACAAAATTGTAGAAAATAATACTTTTTTAGCCATAGTTTTTTATTTCCCCATTACAAACACAACTTTTTTTCTCTACATTTTTTTCACAGCTTATGATAAATGTCTAAATAATTATCAACACAATAAAGATAATTTAAAATCTAAAGTTTCCATTGGTGTAAATATTGTTTAACTGTTTGGTTGACCATCATAAAGTAGCGCATAACTATAAAGTAGAAAGAAAATCTACCTCCACACAAATCTCTGGTGTTTTGCAGCCTCCAACATGATCATTCATCCATCACCATGTTTCTCAGTAGGGAAAGCCTCACATAGCATTTTCATAATAGGGTTAAAAATAAATCATTAGTTATATCTGATCAGAGAACATGTTTTTTCTGTGTTTGCTGGCTTAACTACATGACAGGAATTTTCTATGCTTTCTTTTAGCAATTCAACAATAAACACTTTTGTAACTGTTTGAGATGACTAAGCTAATTTGGTAATTATGATACTGCCGATTGCTCAATTTCACTTCTCTTTTTTTGTTTTGTTTTCTTCATTTATTTTGAAATGGAAACTGAGAGATCAGAGTCCCTTGCGGCCATTATTTCAAAATTTGCATAGTTTATCTCCTTTAAAAAACAAGTAAAACCCCTGCTAAAGGTTAATGTCTTCTTTTTTCAGCTCCTACAGAAAACTGCCTGGTTGGTGCCTTGAGTCTATTCAGCTATGGCTATCGCTAGGCAATTTGGACTGCTGGTGTGGAAAAATTATCTTCAGCAGGTGAGTAGGATCTTCAACCATTTTCTGTCCTTATTAGGTCACATCAGGGTTTACAACTGCATATTGTCAGCAAGTGGTTGAGCTCACAGTAGAGCAGTTTTCATAACAGTATTTAAGTGATGGGCTTTTGGACACCATAAATAAAATAAAGTGACTAACATTTTGCACTGACAATATCAGATATGTTCCAGCCATCTTAAAATAAAGATCTATCTTATGCTACATTATGTCACATGCGTTCTTCTTCCTTGTATAGGTTTAATGAACTGTCTCGTCTTCCTTCACTTAGGCTTTTAGAGGTATTGTGAAATAAATCATGAGACTAAACAAGTCAGATGTTTTCCCAGAACACCCTATCATAAGATTCAAAGGCTGACAGTGTACAGATGATAGGAAGTAATTCTTCTATTCCACAATGTTTAATTTTTCCCACCCACAGAGAATACTGGCACAGCTCTGTTTGCTTATTACTGATAGTAGCTGCTTGCATGAAGCAGAACATTATTATCAGACAATGACAACAATAAGTTAGATTATTGGGCAATGGAATGGCCTGTGGGCTGTGAATCATACGTGCTTTAAAATATTAAACCCTCTGGAAACGTCTGTGTCAGATTGTGATTCCTGAAGAATTTTCATCAGAAAGCATATTAGATTAAATGTAATCTAGAAAAAATGTTGGCCTATTTTTTTAATTTTTATTCAGCATTAAACAGAAATGCTTAGAATCTGTCTCTTTTTATCCATAAAGGATAAAAGGAAAATGTTTTTACCCTCCTTTGCGGAATGTGAGCCTCAATGCTTGGGAGTTCTTTTTGTCTCTCTGAATTCCATGTTGTGTTTATATACCGAGATAATGACTCAATATCAAAGCTGCAAAAATATTAGACATGTAATTTTTTGGCCTTAGAGAAATAATTGGTTTCAGAAGAGACTTCTAACCTCAAGCTGTGTTTCTGTCCATCCTTCCCTTCTTTCAAAGTAAAGTCCAATTTTGTATTGATTCTGCGTAAACGTGATCTAATGCTGATGTCAATATCAGCTATGACACAGACGAGGCCTTGATAATAAACATCCAATGTTCTGAAACTGTTCATCTCACTTTATGCTTTAACGACTGGTCAATGAGGTCAAACATTTTTTTCCTGGATAGAAGTAATAATCTGATAAACAAATCTAACGCACTTTTAAATAATTTTGACATTTTGAAAGTTCCATAAAAATACATTTGACTTTTTTTGTATTTGTGTGTCTTGTTTTAACTTTTCCAAATATCACAAAAACATACTTTAATGTATTTTATTTGTTTTTTTGTGCAACAAACCAAGGAATTCAATAATTTTGATGTTCAGTTGCTTTCTGGTTCTATGATTCTGCATAGAACCTGAAAGATATGCACACCTTATCAAGACTCTTTATTTATTTCCACATATTTTTGTTTTAATCTATGTTTCAACGTGACTAACTGCTACAGAAAAAAACTCTCCACTTTCTCATGTCCAGAAACGTCAGATTCTGGTGACTCTGGTGGAAATCCTCTTGCCGCTGCTTTTCTCTGGCATCCTCATCGTGCTGCGTCAGAAGGTGCCTTTTCAGGATTACCCAAATGCCACCATCTATGAGAGCTTTCCTGTCAACATTTTACCCAGCCGTATTTCACGAAACCTGCAGCTGGGCTACGTGCCCAGTAACTCCAGCGTTGTGCGTCAGGTGGCGGAAGATGTCAGAGGCAGCCTGTCCCTGCACTCAGGTGGGTAATCATCAGATAAGGTAACAGGCACGGGGCCACTGTTGTAACCGGTTACACAAATACCACAGGATTCTCAATGTTTGTGGATCAGGACAGAGCTGGGGATACTGGTTCCTCTGGAAATAGCTCTCAGGAGAGAAAACACGCCACACCCTACTCCTTTATCAGCAGGTACTAGAGACAGGGGGAAAAAAAGGCAGCCTGGACACTATAGCATGTCTATCTTCTCCCTCAAGACACCAGCATAACGTCTCTTTGATCTCGCCATACGCGTACATACCTTCTCTGCATGACTAGTTCTCCAAACAAACACTCAGGACACCTGACAGGTCTGCAAACATTCGGACATATTTGGATTCATTTTGACAGACAGATGGACATACACACAGTGGCTGCTGTGCAAAGAAAAGATGGGTGAATGCACTCGTATTCATAAGTTTTCCTGTGGTCAGACAGGTCAGATGTGAGATCCCACACGTCATTAATTCTGTTTGAATTAATGATTAATTCAAACAGACGAAAAATACAGAAGGGAAGTTGGAGGAGAATGAACTGGGTTACATTTTATCATTGTTGCATGTATGTGATCTCTTAAGTTAAAACTTAGACTGTATGCTTAAAATAGAATGTTTTTTTTAACAGTAGCATCATATTTAACTACTGCTGTAGATGATCCGTGCAATACTAAATAATTTGGTTTTTCTAAACGCTCGTAGCAGGGAAAAGAATACATGGTTTTACATCAGTAAACCTCTGAACCTTATGGGGGTTGGGTAATGAGTACATCAATCTGAGAAGCAGCCAAAGTCCATACTGACTTTGGAGGAGCTGCAGAGATTCACAGCATTACACAGGGCAAAACTGAAAAAAAGAACTGTTGGAGGTTGCAAAAAGCTTTAGACAGAGGTGTGTGTTCACTGTCCCATGCGGTGATAACCCTAAAAATAATGGCAGAGTTACAGTGGATTGCTTTATCAATCCATATTTATGTACTAGAATGGCCCAGTCAAAATCCAAATTTATTCTACTGATAAACTGTGGCAAGACTTGATTCTTAATGCAGCCCAACGGTGTTCTGGCCACTTTGCAAAGAATTGTAAAATATTTCAAACTGCATACGCACAGCTGGTAGAGAATTGGTAATTGCTGCAAAAAGTGGACATTGAATGCATTAAGAAAGGGCTGAATGTAAACGCACAGCAGAACTCTCAGGTTTTTAGTGGTAAAACTATTGATAACAATGCATGCGTTTCTTTCCACTTCATAAATGTGCTCTACTCACATAAAAATACTCATAAAATGCATTGAAATTTGTGGCTTTCAAGAGAAAATGTGAAAAAACTCAGTGGGTAAAAATACTATTAGCAAGGTGTTGAAAACATTACTCTTATTTTCTTTTCTAATTATAGAGTTAAATTTGCTTCTTTTTTGTTTTCCCACTAGCAAATAAGGCACAGTAATGTGTAATTAAGCTGTACTGAAATTGCCAGCAACCTATGTGATTATTGTTTAAGCTTTTGGTTTGGGTGCTGCTTGCATTCCCTTCCATCCCCTTAGATTGTCTTTTACACAATGTTTGTTTTATGAGGCTAACCCAGATTTAACCCTGGCACTGATATAATGCTTACAGTTTATGCAGTACTCACAATATCTTTGTATTTGTTTGATAGAAGAATAGAAACTGACAAGTTCAGGGGGTGGGGGGAATTATTTAATAAACACTGTGGGGAAAACTAAAAATAATTATCTATTGTTGATGTCTCTGTTTGGGGAAGTCACAGTATTCAGGATGGCAGCCAGATCTGGACTATTTCCCTGCTTGTGAGAGGGAAACATAGAAACCAAGAGGCAGACATGGGTACAGTCGAACATGAGAGAGAAGTACCACTTTTTGTGTTTGTCTTGGTTGCAGTGCGTGGCTTTGATACAGAGGAGCAGTTTGAGAAGTACGTCCGAACCGACCCTCAGTCACACCAGATATTGGCTGCTGTCATCTTTGAGCACCCCTTCACTCATGACGACGAGCCCCTGCCCCTGCAGGTAAAAGGCATTGCACGCTCAGTCACACCCATGCTGTGTGCATTTGAATACTTGGTCAACAATCCTGAAGCTGATCTCTATGTGAGGAGAAAAAGCAGCGTTGCTGGTTTAGCCCCTTTGGTTCACTTCCTTAAAATATTGTTGATTTACTGGTTCAGACTTGACAGCTTGAATGGAAGGAAGAATCCAGTCTAATTTCATTCACTCTGGAGAGTTTAACAGTTGAGAGAAAACATTTGTTCTTGCGCAGCCAGAAAAACTAGAAGAGCAGAGCTCTGTGCTGTAAAGAAAAAACTGACGTTTACCGCAGTAAAAGGAAATGTACCTCGACTAGAGTAAATTACCAATGTCACCACTGTATACCCTGTCTCATTACATTTTACACCTTTACTGTTTTCACTTCAGTTCACCTGCAGTCACAGTCATAAAATCTGAGACAACAAATGCATAAAAGTCTAATGTAAAACAATAAACTGTTCACATAAAGCATTCTTTCCTTTCAAGCATTTTTTTTTTGTTTGTTTATGAAGTAGAGGCCCATTTATCAAAGCAACAAAGTAACACATCGAAGAATAATTAGTTATAACTCATAAAACTTGACAGTGGATAATATCTCAGAGTAGTTCCATATATATGTGGTTACACTTCCCATAAGATATAAGTAGTGAAATGTGACAAACCTCAAGTTTCTGAACTGGTCAGCCACAGAAAGTTTTACAGCTATACATAGGTATATACACCTTTTCAACTAAGCCTACTAATCTCATACAGCACTAAGATCCAGGCTTTACGAATGCCACTCCAAAACATTGACTCTGTCATCCTTAAGCCACTTTGTAGCTAATTTGGCAGTATCTTCTTAGCCTTTAACTCACTTGCACCCAAACTTTAATATTCTACATCAGGGGTCTGCAAAGTCGGTCCTCGATGCATCCTGCATGTTTTACTTCTCTCCTTGATTTAACGCACCTGGATCAAATGATGGCTCGTTAGAGGCGTAAGAAGAACATAGACATTCTGAAAAGGTTGTCACTACCATCAAGGAGAGAACTAAAACATGCAGGATGCCGGCCCTTGAGGACCGACTTCGGGGACCCCTGTTCTACATAATCTCTTGAGATTCTTTAATATTTCCATCTCATCACCTTCCTAAAGTAATCGCCTAAGTCACTTTTTGCCAAAAGTGTTTTTTTTTTTAACCCAAATCTTTTTCTGTTGATTAATAACTTGGGCCATTATTTTAAGAAGGTAATATTATGATGTTATTTCCACATGATGTCATCTGTTTTAGGAAGTGGACCAACCCATTCTGCGCCAAAACACGCCCGCAGGATACACAGCTGGTGCTCTCAGGCTTGGAAAAATTTCCCCTTAGCCACAATTTAGTTTCATCATATTACTAAACATGAAGTTACTAAGTGCATTTGAAAACTTTAATCTGGCATTCTATGGTTCATTTTAGACTACTGATGCAGGACTTTTATTTATGTGGATAAAACAGCATCTTTACAAGACCTTTTTCTTTTGTTCTGTGACTGAAATGAACATTTCTCATCAAAGCCCTTTCACTTCTGGGACACAAAACATGTCTTCCTCCTGAAGACATATTGAAGGTTACACATAACCATATTCTGGATTCTTTAATGTAAATATTTGAACAGAAGATTGTGACACCTTCAGTTAAACAGTCCAGTTAACCAAACCTTTAAAGATGCCTTAGGCTCTGCTAGAGAGACTAAGCATTTAGTTTTGCTCTAAAGTTGATTATGATTTTACTGTTTTTATTTAATTTTCACTCTCTTGACTTACAGGTGAGCTACCACCTGCGCTTCACCTTCACCCCACGCAACGCCCCACCTAGGGAGAAGTCTGAACTGAGCCCAAACAGTGACTTGGACTGGCATACACTCAGCCTCTTTCCCCTTTTCCAGCTGCCAGGGCCAAGGGAGCAGCACGACAAGGATGGGGGGACACCAGGTGACAACCAAATTTTGTGGACAAATTGCTGTTAAATATCTTAAAATTCTCATAAGTTATGGGCAAATTCTGTAGATTTCAGTGAATCATTTCTTCAACCCAGACCAATGATGGCAGATTTATATATTTATATTACTATCTGTGCAATATTAAAATGCATTTTTTTTTTTTATACCAAGGTTATTACCGTGAGGGCTTTCTGGCAGTCCAGCACGCAGTGGACAAAGCCATCATGCGATCCCACAACAGTACTGGAGCAGACCATTTGCTGAAACAGACCAGGGTGGTTCTGTCACGCTTTCCTTACCCTAGCTTTATCTATGATGTCTTCATCTTGGCCATTCAGAACCAGCTGCCTCTTCTCTTAGTGCTCAGCTTCACTTACACGTCCCTCAACATAGTGCGAGCTGTGGTGCAGGAGAAGGAACGGAAGCTCAAGGTATTGTTACGTGCCCCTTTTGGAAAGTAACTTAAATGATTAATTCAGCCGTTAAACATATACATTACCTCTGCCTCTTGTTTGTCTTGTCCATTTCAGGAGTACATGAGGATGATGGGCCTCAGTAACTGGCTGCATTGGAGCGCATGGTTCCTGATGTTCTTCCTCTTCCTCTCCATTTCAGTGTTTTTTGTTACTCTGCTCCTCTGTATCCGGGTGAGTTTGTGACAGAAACAATCCCCTTTATTCTGATGTGAAAATGACATGACGTTATGATTACTGTTGTGTTTACTTACCGCATGTATAGATGCAATGAAACCAAGTCAAACTAACTTAAAGCTCAGTGCTTTTAAGTGGTGGTTCAGCAGAATGACTACAAAGGTTGTGCTCTCAGTGAATCATTTAAAACATCTAATTGCTAGGAGAAACAGAAGGAATACAAGAGACAGATTTACTAAAATGCAAAAAAAAATCAAATATATTTTTACTTCTCCATCTTAATCATATTATTCAGAGAATGATTAAAGTCTACATTTGTTGTTTGTTCTCTCCTTAGAACAATTGTGGTATTTTCATAGGTATTGTTATAACAATCACCATTTTAGCCAAAGATTTGAATATTTATTCTGTTGGAAACTTGTGATGTTTAAGACAACATTTCTTATATATTATCTTTTCTTCAAAAAGATTAAACATGTGTTATGGAAGCTGATAAATCTTTTTGACCTTACTACATCTCCTGAGTGCCGTAATTGAAGACAGGTTGAATTGCAGTTGCTTGTTTGAAAGTCAATTTCAGTAGCAGAAGAAAGTTAGCTGATAGAAACCAGGCAGCTGCCAATCACAGATAAAAGTAAGATTAAGCAACACAATTTGTAAGCCAGATAAATAAAACCTTGCCTGCCAATATTTTCACAGTATTGGCGTTTTGAACCAAAAAAGAGCCATGCAAATGGACACCTCCAAACACTTCTGTGGGATGGTGTTGCATCTGTAGTGTTTATGTGAAATTTTACAGTTGATTGTGAGGAGAAAGTTTCACTTGGTGACATTTTTTCTTGGGATTTCTGTCCAGTAATTTTCTATCTCTTTTTCGTAAGAAAGTTATTTGAAAATCCCTTTCATCACTGTTTAAATTATGCGTTAGGCCGGACACCACCTTGACAGTCCATGTTATTGATTTAGGTGAGTCCTAACGGTGCAGTGTTGAACTACAGTGACCCCACCCTGGTCTTTGTCTTCCTGCTGGTTTTCACTGTGGCCACCATCAACTACAGCTTCATGATCAGTGCCTTCTTCTCACGAGGTGGGTGGCTTTGTCTATTTGTAGTGGGAGATTAAGTATCCTGTTTATTGGCTTTCTTTGTGCTGCACATGTGGCCAAATGATTTTTTTCCCCAAAAAAGTACAAGTTGTACAACAGTTTGCAGTTTATCAGATTCTCCCCTTTAGTTCAACTATGACTTACATAAGTACGTGCAATCCTTATATGCTCAAATCATATATACCTTTTAATGGTTAAAAGCCATTTAGTGTAACTTTTTTTTTCTAGATCACAAATGTTCTGCTTACAGTAAATCTTAGATGACATGCATAAATCTCAACATCTCATTGATGACCTCAAAGATAAAGCATGCTGCATAAACCTCTTCTTTTTCACTTCCCTGTTGTTCTGCTTTCTTTGCTCTTTCACTCAAAGTCCATCCGAAATGGATTCAAACCAGAATCCATTTCGTTTCACTTTTCTCCAACAATGCAGCTAAAACTGCAGCGGTGTCAGACGAATTTTTGCTCCATTTTGCTACAAAAATCGCACACAAGTTGTTATTCATTTCATGAAAAGTATCTTGAGTACGTCTCCTGGAAATGTTTACAGAAGAGAAGTCTTGGAAAGATTGAGATTAATTATTTACTCTGTTAAGACTACTGATAAATCGGTACATTGATATGTTGTTTCAAACTGTGACCTCACTGCCGTTTTTCACGTGTGACTCATTTTTCTTATCTGCGTAGGAAGTTCACCTGGTAATCTTGACTTACATTACATCCCTTATTACTTCAGACTACCTTTCCCGACCTTTGCATTGTTGATGAGCTGACTCATTTAAATAATGGCAACTGTTGCTACTCGTATAAAACTTAATTTTATTTAAAGAAAACATCACAGTTTTATTTTTTGTTTAACTGGACATAATGGATTTTAAATCTTGCACATTTTGCCTGACATAAATTACTTGTTCAAGGGAAAGCAAAAATGTAGAAGATGGGAAACAAATTCAACCAAATGTTTCCTTCACTGACCTCTTTTGCCATTTTTTCTCAACAAATCATTTTTTTCCCTTCCTTTTGTATTTGTGGCTGCCGAAGGCTCGCCCACCCACAGATAAACTTTCTAGGTAGAGATAATGGCATTTGATCAATGGATGTTCCAATTGAGCTCAGAATGTCACATTGACTGCTTCAAGTGGTCTTTGATGGATTCATGTTGTGCTCATTGGAGTTGGAAAAAGAAACAGTTCTTAGTCTGTCAGTTTTGCGTCATCTCCTATTTTTTCCTCCCTTAATGTTTTATCTGAACCTCTGGGAAGATTCACGTTGCCAATCAAGCAAATGGCTTTTTGAAGAGCTCACAAAATCCTTTGCCTGTCAGCTCTTTGCTTTTATTTATGTTATTGAGTTGTATCACCCAGCAGAATATATCTGTAATGTTTCTTTTGCAAGATTGCTCCCATTTTTAAGATACATTTTCAACATTTTCTCTCATGCTTTTAGCCAACGTGGCGGCAGCAGCGGGCGGCTTCATCTACTTCCTCAGTTACCTGCCTTATTTGTTCCTGTGGCCTCGCTATGACTTACTGAGCCACGCTCAAAAAGTGTCAGCCTGCCTTATCTCCAATGTGGCCATGGCCATGGGAGCACAGCTTATAGGAATGTTTGAAGGCAAAGGTAAGGTTTGTGATCGAACTCAACCCAAAATGCTACAGTTTTCTATGTTACTTTATGTTTTTATTATCAATTCTTTGCTCCTCAGGTACTGGAATCCAGTGGTCAAACCTGTTTGACTCTGTGACAGTGGACGATGACTTCTCCATGGCCCAGGTTCTGTGCTTGCTGCTGTTTGACTCGGTGCTTTACGGCCTGGTGGCCTGGTACATGGAGGCTGTGTTTCCCGGAGAGTACGGAGTGCCTCTTCCATCTTACTTCTTTCTACTGGTACGCCAATCATCAAAATACCAGATGCAAAAGAAACTTCTGGGGCTTAGGGATAAGAGTACAAATTGATATTTTAGTATTTCGTCAATTATGGTTTTAATTTGTGTCTCAAACTAAAAAAAAAGAAGGCTGGAAAATGTGAAATTGATGGTTAATAAAAATTCCTAAAGCTTGGTCTTCAGCACAACTTTTGTAAACTTGGGACTCAAATCAATTTTTTAAAATTTAAATACACTAAACCACATGTGCTTTACTCCAGTGTAGGAACCAATATATTTACCACTGTTACCTTTAAACATAAATCAGAAATAATCAAAGGGTTTTTAGAATATAAGATAGACAGGCTGATGATCAGAAATATTTTCTAATTGTAGTTTGCATCAGTAAAGTATCACCTGCACCAATTTTTAGACTCAACTCTCCAGGACTCAAGCTAATACTGACAATAACATTAAAATGTTTTGAAAATGTTGCAGAAATTTAAAATAATTTAAAAATTTGCATCTCTTCTTCAATTTACAGCAACATTGTAGGTCTCCTCCAAAATCAAATTGTTACAAATATCTAAATTCCAAACGCACACTGTTGAGTCTAATATAACACTAAATATAATAAGCAAAAAAAAAAAAAAAGACTGAGGTAGAGGTATGTGGATAATGTGTCAGTGGCTGATAGATATAGTTACTTCACCCACTAAAATAAACATGAAGTAGCAGCAGTGTTTACGGATTTTCATTCTGACAATATTATGTTATTAATGCTAGTTGTAGCATCAAGATAGAACGGAACAGACCCTGCACTGTAACAGTTTTCATGCAGGCATGTGCATGGACGGCTATTATTTGGTGTGGCTTCATTGCTGGTCGTTAATAGTTAACATAAAAAATGTTGGCAAGGCAAGAACTGATATGATACTGATATGAAACTGTATCATATCATGAAGACTGACTGTCTGTTGGGTATAAAAGGCAATGTTACTGTTAATGAGTGAGCATCCATGCACACATTGAAACACATAAGATAAGAGTGCGTGGATCTGTTTGCAGCCTCGCTATGGGGAGGTTTCTTTTTTCTTCATTTTAGAGTAAGGCACTCCTTGACAGGTGTTGTTGATAAAGACTTTATACAGAACGGCAGTTGTCATTTTGGTCTGTTTAATGCATTTTTTGTCTTCCAGACATCAGTAAGTGGGGGTATGTAAGAGCTCAAGTGAGACTCTGCTTTCAGTGAGACTGGTTTTGATACAGAGCAATTGGAAGAGATTCAAAATGGGAGGCTTGAGCATGTCAGCCAGAATGAGATCTTCAGGTTCAGCTGGTTAGAATAACAGGAAGCTACAGAGCCCTTACCAGAAAATACAAACACGGTTTATCTTTACAACAACTTTGCTTGATCCCAAAGTGACGTTTCTTTACACAAACACGCATGTTTTTACACAAAAATAAATTCCTGGTAATTTTTTCCCAGGTGGTCAGGAATTCAAGGAACTGCCAGTAAGGTGTGGTTTAGACGCTGACGCACGTCTGTCAGCATCCATTGTGTGTGTGAGGATGGTGGGCAAAAAATAAGCTTTTATTCTGACTCTTAGGAAGAAACATTCTCTTCCCGTGCACATAAACATTAATCCTGCAGCTTAGCTGTTCTCCTTTGTTTCCTCTGTCTCATTCCTATTATTTGTAAGTGAAAATGTAATGTTTTTACAAGCATTGATCACAGTGTTTTGTTTTAATCTTCTGAACCACAGCCTTCATACTGGTGCAGCAGCCCTCGCATGGCTATGGTAAACGAGAAAGAGGAAGAGGAGGATGCAGAAAAAGCTATGAAGGGAGAGTTTATAGAGGAGGAGCCAGCTGGAGTAGTATCTGGAATAAAGATTAAACACCTCACTAAGGTAAGAGGCTGAAGACTGACTGTCTGTTGGGTATAAAAGGCTCTTGGTGCCTTTTATACCAAGAGCACCAAGGTGTGGACACGTTATGGTAATGTTTGCACTGGTTCTGGGTATCTCCCTCTGCCAGGAGTTCAAAGTAGGGAACAAGACACGGCAGGCGGTGCGAGATCTGACGCTGAACATGTTCGAGGGGCAGATCACAGTGGTGCTGGGACACAATGGTGCTGGGAAGACCACCACGCTGTCCATGCTTACAGGTCACCGGTCACAAACATGACAGGGAGCAAACACTGACCATGCACATCAAATGAGTCACCTAACTGGGATCTGTTCTGTTTCCTTCACATTTCAGGTCTGTTTCCTCCCAGCAGCGGCCGGGCCTACATAAATGGTTACGACATCTGTCAGGACATGGCTCTGATCCGACGTAGTCTGGGTCTCTGTCCTCAGCACGACGTTTTGTTTGACAACCTCACAGTGAGAGAGCATCTGCTCTTCTATGCACAGGTATTCAACAATATAGCACAGCAGTTACTTATAACTGTAAAATGATCTTAAAGTTTTTCCTCACACCAAAAGGTAAACATGAAGCTCTATCTGGTGGTGTGATTGTTTTTAAAAACTGCTTTCTAATTAGATGAAAGTTTAAGGTGTAAAGGAGCTTAAGATAACCTCTTAGGATGGAAGTCAAAACTTATTTGTTGTCCGTTGACTGAAATATAAAAATGTGAAGCTAAAAAAGAGAAATGGATTATTGTTTATGTATATGTTTATTTTATACAGCTGAAAGGCTTCCCCAAGGAGCAAATTTCAGATGAGGTGGATCGTATCATCTGCATTTTGAACCTGGAGGACAAGCGACATTCTCGCTCCAAGACCCTCTCTGGCGGCATGAAGAGGAAGCTTTCCATCGGAATCGCCCTCATTGGAGACTCCAAGGTCAGGAACTTTACCACTGCTTTTTATGATCATTCATTTACCTAATATCCCCCTCCATCAGTGAATACCTCCTCTGCTCCTATCTCCAGGTCGTCATGCTGGATGAGCCAACGTCTGGGATGGATCCATCAGCACGACGGGCCACCTGGGACCTTCTCCAGGGAGAGAAACGAGGTCGCACCATCCTGCTCACCACTCACTTCATGGATGAGGCCGATCTACTTGGTGACCGGATCGCCATCATGGCAGGAGGCGAGCTGCAGTGCTGCGGCTCGTCACTATTCCTGAAGAGCAAATACGGTAAGAAAAAGATGGAAGGCGCTACAGCAGGCCTTTGCCTGAATAGATTTTTACAGGGTGTACATTTTGTTCTTTTTTAATAAAAACAACTTCAGTCTGTCTCTTCTGTCCTCTTTATACATTGAGACTTAATTTCACCTTATCTGACCTCTAGGAAAACTAAAATACAATGATTAGATAGCAATTGTAAAGGCTTCAAATGCTTTGCTTAAATAGGATTGTGGAAAAAAGAAAAAGACAAGAATCTTGAACAGAAAAAAATGCAAGCAAAGCCAAATAAAAAATGTAATTTTAACAACTTATACATGTACTGCATTGACAAAAGTACATTGCACTCCTTACACGGACTTTTAAGGATCTGGATCAGTGACCTAGTGGCCTTGCCAATATAATATCTTAACATTTTCAATTTTGCATTGCTTAGTAAAGAAAAAATTATTATAAAAATAACATGTATGTTTTTGTTTGTTTGCCAGGTGCTGGCTACCACATGGTGATTGTCAAAGGTTCACTTTGTAATGTATCAGAGATCACTCGCCTTGTTCATATGTATGTTCCCAACGCTACAATGGAGAGCAGCGCCGGAGCCGAGCTCTCTTACATCCTGCCTAAAGAAAGCACCAGCAGGTAAGTTATGCTGCCCCCAGACCATTCATGCTAAAGTTCTTGTAATTGCAGTGTGGGTATTAGATTCACAAAACCCCAAATCAGTGACTAAGTCATAATTATTCTGAACTGATTTATGAGGAGTACATTTTGTTTCACAATTAAAGCTGTAATGTGTTAGCTGTTTGCTCAGATATGATTCTCATTAAATTTAAAATGAACATCATTTTTTTATTTTTGCCTCCTTTTACATACATTTTTGTACATTGGATCAAACAGTAGAAGAATATGTCATTCAACAAGATAATTATTGTGGAAGTTTGAGTGGTTTTAGGCTATAACTTGTTTGATTTTGCAATACCTTGACCCCTGTTCCCATTGGCAGTGGAAAGTCAGCAGTGATGTACAGTGTAGCACATCTCTTTTGTTTGTTCATGCAGGTTTGAGCTGCTATTTGCTGAGCTGGAAATGAACAAAGAGGAACTGGGTATTGCAAGCTATGGAGCCTCGGTGACCACCATGGAAGAAGTTTTCCTTAGGTAGGATACAAGATCTTCCTTATTTTCATCCTTCATGGGGTTACATTCTTCCATTCATTTTGTGCAAAACTTGTGTAATAATTTCTGCTTAGCATCAAAAACCCTCAGGGAGATTCCTATTATCTTTATTTCTTCTTTATATTGGTCAGAATGTACCAAATTCTCAACCACAGCTTTTATTTGCTGGAGCAGTGTTTGTCTTCATGTTCAAACTAAGCTGGAGCTACTTTCCTCCTTTGTTCATATAACTCCAGTTCCTGCTGCTCATTTATCACGTCTTTCTGCTTCCTCATGGGTTTGATTCGGTATCTGTGGCAACTAGCTCACAGTTGCTTCCTCTGTTGTGGACTTAGCTCTGCGTGCTGCTGATTCTGGATGTTTAATGACACTTTACTGCTCCCAATGCCTCATTATCTACAAGTCCTGCTGAGAATCTGTTCATACCGAAAATATCAAATATGTACCGAGACTAGCTTTTATTTGCGAACCTTAATAAAATATTTTATATTTAGTTTTAAAAATGCATGGCCTTTTTTACGCTTTGTTGTCACTTTGCAGTGAGTAGAATGCTATAAACTAAACAAAAACAGTATGTAAAAATAATATCCCCTTACTTCTGGGTATCTGAACAAACAAATGAGACAAAACAAGATCTGAAAGGGTTTTTTGATTTCTGACTTCAAGGCTAGAAAGCCTGAAGTGTTCTGAGAAAAGATTAAAACTTTGCACAGTGGGAACAAGATTTCTCTTTTCATGCTTTTAAAAGCAAAATATATTGATTATCTGTCGTTCCTCACTTTTCTGTGAAACATTGATGTGAATGTCTCTGGTTGGCCTGACCATCGTGCTGATGATGGTGACATTTCTTCACTGCTAAGTGCTATGGATATGTCTTGGCCTCATCCGACATGGACAGTTTCTAGTTGCAAGCCTCCCCTGGGACTGACTAATTATTCTACTTCTTGACCAGACTGCCTACAAAAGCAGTGCAAGCATATGTCCCTGGATTCCTTGCATTCGAGCAGTAAGGGGTCAGTAAAGGATGTTCTCTCATAGAGATTATGCAGCACTCTGTGTCCTACTGGTTTATTGAGAGAAAAACCCTTAAAACTTCCTCAATGCTTTGTGAAAGTTGCATTGTTCTTGCTTCAAGAATGTGCTTGCATCAAGCACATTCTTGCTTCAAGGGGGAGCAAGAAGGTTTAACTTTTTAAAGTCAAAATCTCATTTTCTCTGGGAATTCTGTTTGAAAAAAATTGTGTGCTGGAAGTCTGATCACTGTACTTGTCTCTCAAAAGTAGCAATTTGTTTATCCATATGTTAAAGAAAACAACTTTTCTACTGTAATTTTTTTTTTTCCTTTTTTCAATGAAAACTAAATTTATATCCTGGCGTTAAAAAAAATATATCTGTGGTCAATTTATATCTGCAGAGTTGGAAAGCTGGTGGATTCTAGTTTGGACATTCAGGCGATCCAGCTGCCAGCCCTTCAGTACCAACATGAGAGACGCTCCCATGACTGGACCACCGATGACGCCAGCAGCATCAGTGGCCTGACAGATGTCACTGACTTCACAGACAGTGGGACACTCATCTCTGATGATGGGTCAAACATTAAACTGAACACAGGGGTAAGACTGCAGAAGGTGTGTGTTATATGTATAACATCTAGAGCTCTGTTTGAGTTCTGCTGGGTTTGTGTCAACAGGTCAGACTCCACCTGCAGCAGTTTTATGCCATGTTTCTAAAGAGGGCACTGTACAGCTGGAGGAACTGGAAAGTGATGGTGGCTCAGTTCTTGGTCCCTTTGATCTTCACTGTTGTGGCCTTAGTGGTGGCACGCACCCTCCCCAACCATCAGGATGCCCCTATGCTGAGGCTGGCCCTCAGCCACTATGGTCCCACCAGGGTCCCTGTGGCCCTGCAGCCAGGCGCGGGTTCGCTTTCTTCTTCTCTAGCAGAAATGTATACATCCCAACTCCTAGACCAACTGGGTGAGCTCAGAAATGTCACAGGTGAGACACTGAAAGAAAGAAAATGACTAACTCTCAGTATCTAGCTAACATGGTTACAAGTTCTTTTGAAGTGGGGGTTCTTTCTTAAAAGTGGATCAAACCACCAAAAGGTGTCACACAAGAATCTCAAAGACTCTATGTGACTCAAAGCAGCAACAGCCAGCGCATAATCTGTAGAGTACATGAAATACAGAGACTTGTGGATTCCAAAACTTTAGAAATTGCTGCAAACATGGTCAGGTTGGTGTAAAATCTCAGAACAAAGATCGGCAACCAAACAAGTCGACTAAATTTTAGTTTTTATATAACTGACTGATCACAAGGTAGCGCAAAATCACTCCAGCTCAGCCAGTCTGGATTATTGTTCACAGAAAGCCCAAAAACATTAATGTTCAAATCTTGACTCTCAATTGGATTTATGTTTGAACTTTGAATGGGACATTCTCACACTTGAGAATGCTGTGGGACATTTTTCCCACAGCCTGATGCTGCCACAACAATGTAAATGTACTATATTTTCGAAAACTTCAAATATGTATAATTTATATTCACTACTTTAAATTAGACTTGCACAACAAATCTTTATTTAATACATTAAATACACTTCAAAGAATAAAAAGGGCAACAAATCCAATTGATCCAAAGGCAGCAGAGGTGTACTAAAATGACTCAATACTATGTAAATGTAAATCGGAATTAACCATTTAAAACCAAATTGCACAAAGACATCAAATCACAATCCGCATTCTTTCTTTTTGACTGTTTAGATTTCACTAATTACGTGCTGACCAATGCGAAAGCAGAAGGCGGGGTCTTTAACGAGCGCTGCGTGGTGGGCGCTGCCTTCCTTGGCAGGAGCAACCACTATTCAGAAGCAACAGCCTATTTCAACAACCAGGGCTACCACACACCTGCCACAGCCCTCATGATGGTGGACAACGCTCTGTTCAAACTCCTAGCTGGGCCCAACGCCTCAATCCTGACAAGCAATTACCCCATGCCCAGAAACCTGTCTGAGACTGCGAGGAGCCAGCTCACAGAGTGAGTACAGGACAGGATGTCCCTGATTAAAAGAAACAGAAGTATGAAAAATTCATGAATAACATTTGCTTTTTGTTATTTCTGTCCTCTGTAGTAGTAAGACTGGCTTTGCCATTGCCATCAACCTGATGTACGGCATGGCCTCACTGTCGAGCACTTTTGCCCTGCTGCTTGTATCTGAATCTGCAATCAAGTCGAAGCACGTCCAGCAGGTCAGCGGCGTCTACCTGTCCAACTTCTGGTTCTCTGCCCTGCTGTGGGACCTGGTCAACTTCCTGCTGCCATGCCTTCTCATGCTGGTCAGTGGGAAATCCAACCTCTGTTTACAGAAGAAATACTGTGAGAATAATTATCTTGCTGTGGTTTGGATTGTTTTGGCTGCTGTAAGAAGAGATTTTGTGTGTTTTCGTGTTTCGTTCCAGGTTGTATTCCAAGCGTTTGGAATCGAAGCTTTTGTGGCGGATCACCACCTCATCGATGTTCTCCTGATACTCCTCTTGTACGGCTGGGCCATTGTGCCTCTGATGTATCTGCTCAGCTTCTTCTTCTCCACTGCTGCCACCGCCTACACACGCCTGACTATCTTCAATATGATCTCCGGCACGGCCACGTTTCTAACCGTTACCATCATGACCATCCCAGGTGAGAAATGCACATAAAAGTCAAAAAAGCAGGCTGTTTTTGACTGAGAAATTCAGCCTGAACCCTGAATGATTGCATTTTTGTGTGAAAAGAACTATCATTAAATATAAAGTGAACTTAAACAAGCAATAACTGACAAAAAGAAGCTTATTTTTCAGAAATACACAAAATCTATTGAACTTTGTAAAGCATTTTCTTTCCACCTATTTTGTGTTGATGCGTCACTTAAACTCCTTATAGAATAAACTGAAATTTGCGGTTTTATTCAGACAAAATAAACAGTTTAAAAGGCATAAATACTTCAGGAATAAGTACCCTGTAGTAAAACTGCACAAATTAATTTGCCTCTTCTTGTCTTTGTTGCCAAATACAATGATCTTTATTAATGTGTGGGTAGGGATTGAGTGCTAATGTTCACAGAGTTGGCGCTTGGTTAGTTAAAGTGGGATGTGTGAAGCTTCTTGTTGGTAAGAAAGGTAGGAAACTGCAGGTGTGATTTCAACTATATGAGGGAAGGTGTGAAAAATCCTTGAGATTATCTTTGGGTAAATAGTTAAAACCAATAATGACAATCACACAAAGGCCAATAAAGTGTCCATCATTACTGTTCATAGTCATTCCTCCTTATTTCTTGCAGAGTTAAACCTGGTGCACCTGTCGCACTTATTGGATAAGGTTTTCCTGATCTTCCCTAACTACTGCCTGGGCATGTCCTTCAGCCAGTTCTACCAGAACTATGAATTCATAAAGTTTTGCACCTCCAGTGAAATCAGTGAAGTCATTTGCAAAGTTTTAAGTAAGTTCTACTTCAACAGAGCTGAAGTTATTAAAAAAGGTTATGAAAAGCATGAATTTGACTGAGTATCTCTGTGTTTTTGCAGATATCACATACCAGCCAAACTACTTCTCCATGTCAGAGCCTGGTGTAGGTCGCTTCCTGGTGTCCCTCTTGGTGCAGGGCGTCGTCTTCAACGCTCTGCTGTTTGTCATCGAGCTGCAGTGTGTCCGCACCGTCTGCAGACTCTTCACCTCTCTGGGCAGAAAACGCAAACAGGTGGAGGCAACAAAAATACTTCAGTATTTAGTTTGTGCCGCTTGTGGAGTATTTAGAAACTGCACAAACTGCAGTGAATATTTTCTTCTTCCGTTTGTGAATGACAAGAAAAAGAAAGGATGTCATAGTGTGAGTTAAAAAAGTAGCTTAAGGTGAAAAGTAATTCAACACCTTCAGTTAAAAATTATTCAATATGTTATGCATTTTTTAAAAGAATTTTGTCTTGTTTTTAAACTTTTCTAAGTACTATTGGTGTTAAAGGTCAGAAAATATGATTTAATATTTATATTGAAGTAAGATAAGATACTGTCATATTTTGATCTAACATATTTGCTTGGACCTCAGGTGACTCTCTTGGATGAGGCGGCATTCCTTCCAGAGGACCGGGACGTGGCTGAAGAGAGGAAGCGGGTCCTGGAGTGCCAGCCAGTGGTGGAGTCCATGGTTGGCAGCCCTCTCATATTGCATGAGCTCAGTAAGGTGAGTTGCACAGTTGCCTCAGTGCATGCTGCGTCGAGATGTAAAAAATGTGACAGGTAATCACGTCGCTCCGTGCTGCTCAGGTTTACAGCAGTGGGGAGAACCTCTTGGCTGTGGACAGGCTGTCTCTCGCAGTGGGGAAGGGAGAGTGTTTCGGCCTCCTGGGCTTCAACGGAGCTGGAAAGACCACAACGTTTAAGATGCTGACCGGTGATGAGAGCGTCACGTCCGGAGACGCCTACATAGACGGCTACAGCATCCTGAGGGACATTAAGAAGGTAAATCAGAGAGAGGAACACTATTTCAGTGAAAGACGGATTAGATGGTGCTGAAATCTGACACAAATGTTTATCTCGCTGTCGCAGGTGCAGCAGCGCATTGGTTACTGTCCTCAGTTTGATGCCGTTCTGGATCACATGACGGGAAGAGAGACGCTGAGCATGTACGCCCGACTCAGAGGAATCCCAGAGAAGTATGTAGCTGGATGTGTGGAGAACGTCCTGCGGTCGCTGCTGCTGGAGCCTCATGCTGATAAACTGACCCGCAGCTACAGGTGAGGACAGGAGCTCTGTCCTGTACAGATAAAACAGATAGTATATCCAGTGTTAACTGAAATATCTGAACTCATGCAGTGGCGGAAATAAGAGGAAGCTGAGTGCTGGTATGGCACTGATTGGTGGGCCTCCGGTCATCTTCCTGGATGAGCCTTCCACAGGGATGGACCCTGTCGCTCGGAGACTGCTGTGGGACGCAGTCACTCGCACCCGGGAGTCTGGGAAGGCCATAATAATCACCTCCCATAGGTGAACTCTTTATTAACTCGTACTTGTTTGCTAAAGATGAGCAAAAGAGAATTATTAAGAGATTAAATTTATCATTTGAGAGGGAAAGAGACAAAAAAAAAAAAAAAAAAACAAAGTCAGAACTAAACAAATTGTATCTCTGTTTATGGAACAAATCTTTGGAACAATCTGTCTAAAGAAATGAAAGGAAGTAGATACATTTTTACTTTTAAGAAGATAATAACATACACTAATATAAATAATAAAAATATGTATTGTCCACATTTTGGTCTATCTAAATGGATGTGTTCTCACATCAGCATGGAGGAGTGTGAGGCCCTCTGCACCAGGCTGGCAGTGATGGTCAACGGTCAGTTCAAGTGCCTCGGGAGTCCCCAACACCTGAAGAGCAAGTTTGGCAGTGGCTACACGCTGCTGGCTAAAGTCCACAAGGAGGATGACCTGGAGGACGGCGACCTGCAGCTTTTTAAAGACTTCATTGAAAGCACTTTCCCAGGTCAGAGGCGTCAGGATAAAAGTGGAGTTGAGACCGAAACTGTGCAAGCAAACCAAATCTCACTTTGGATTTTCTCCCACAAACAGGAAGTCAACTCAAAGATGAGCACCAGGGAATGGTTCACTACCATCTGACAGATAAAGCACTAACCTGGGCACAGGTACAGCCACTATGTTTATGTCTAATGACTGCTAGTTCAGCAATAGGTCACAGAAAGTACCTTCCTCTCTGAATGGGCTGTGTTTGAGCTCCCCCTAGTGGAGAAGGAGTAACTAACTACTAACTTAGGTAAACATAAAGGAGTTATATTTACCTAATATACAAAGGGAGTTAAATAAGGATTCTAGTAACTAAATTAAGTTCTACAAAATGTTCTGATGTGAAAACTTACGGTACTTCTTTTTTTTCTAATAAAGGAACAAAACCAAACACTCACATGACAAAAAACCTTTACAGAACTGATTGATCAAATACAATACATTTTAGAAAATAACACGAACGAAATGTGGCAAAAAAAAACCAACTAAAATATTCCTGGATACAGTGAAATGAAAACCTTCAAATAGACAGGAATATTCAAATGTGAAAGCAATCAATATAATTAAAACATTGGACTATTTTTTCTAAATATTTTTGACTTACATTTTCTTGTTAAAATTAAGTCTTTTGTGGCAAATACATAATTTTGTGATATTTTTTTTCTGTTTTGTTGCCATCACAGCACCACTGCTTATATGCTTCAGGATAAACACAAATGCACTTTTACTCATTTAGATTTTATGCATAACATAACATAATATGTCAGCATAACAAATATAAATGTGCATAAGAAAATTTTTAAAAGTATATTTATATTGTAAATATAATAATATTTATATTATTTAAAATAAATACAGTTTTTAAGTGGTTGAAATTGCATTACCTCCTCACAAAGACATGCTTCATCTCTTTTGTCTCTCCTCTTCACCTTCTTTCTCTGCTGTTCAGGTTTTTGGCACATTGGAGGCAGCCAAGGAGAAGTACTGCATTGAAGACTACTGCGTGAGCCAGATATCTCTGGAGCAAGTATTCCTCAGCTTTGCTCAGTTCCAACATTGCACACAAACTGAGAGGAAGTAGGTGGAAGGAGCCAGGAATCCGTCCATAGTCAACCTAAAACCTGGTGGAAGCAAAAACATTGTTTGACTCCCATCTCCATTTCTGACTTGAGCACTAACACTAAGAAAGTCAACGGTCCAGTCTGAAACTTGAGCATCTCTTCTGCTTCATGAGACTTTAGTTGGTCAATCACGCTGTTTGTTGTTGCCGTCTGAAGTTAGGAACGCTGACTCTCATCGTAGCTTGTGGGGTGTTGATTATACCAAGTGACAAACTCCTAGATCTGCACCTTTTTCAATCGAGTCAAACGCTTTGTCAACCCTCAACCACTACCAGCCGTGTGTGAGGGGGTTAATGTGTGTGTATGTGTGTTTGTGTGCATTTAGTATTTGTACAGACTACACAGGTAGTCTGTACAAATACTGTAGTATTTGTAGTTTTTCTTATTTATGACTTTTATGACTTCTGTTCCCATGATTTTGTGCTGATTGTCATCACAGGAAAGTTGAACCACTGATGATTGTGAAGCTGCTGTGCACCTTCGAGCCTTATCCAACAAACTAATTCTTTTTATGTCATCCTGACCAGAAGGACTCTAGACCCCGAAGAGTCTCTTAATGTTGCCAGATGTACACAATATGACATGTCTATGGTACTCGTACTCAAATCAAGACAGTTTTCAGTGTAATGCATGCATAGAATCTAAATGAGTAAAAGCATCAAGTTCAGCGGGAGGAGAGCAGCAGAGAATGAAGGATAATCCTTAAATTATATTTAATTATTTCTTATTATGGTCTGTACGTCTCCTCTTTCAGTTAATGGGAATCAGTTTCTGCAGCAACATGCAGCAACAGAAATATTAACCATTACAGTTTAGTTTATGTGCTCTTACAGGTAATTAAATTGCACTTATGCAAATGATGCAGTGAAAATCTTAATTTGAATGTAGATTTGCCCTGTTATTATTATTATTATTATTATTATTATTATTATTATTATTATTATTATTATTATTATTATTATTATTATTCCTTAACTAACTTCTATCCTGAAAAAAACAACAGTTAAATACTTCTAAACAAACCAAACCTTTTTCTCTGAGAGATAATTCTCATCACTGTATTTTACGAATACAGTGTCATTTTCTTCTGCCATTCATGACATATTACACCCTAGATCAAAGCGTGTCAACATTGTTACATTTTTTTTTATAAATGATGTAGAAAGACTCAGTTACATTTATTAAATAGTAATATTTCCGGCTTATATTATAGGTAAACCAAGTCTCCTGGTTTCCTGTAATCTCTGTGATACAAACCGGGACAAATAATATTATCTGCTCATCTCCTCATATTCTCCTCACTTCAGCAGTGTGATGAATGTGCGCTTCCCCACGCCGTCTAACTTGAGCAAGATAATACATTATCTTTTATTAAGCGCTTAATTTTCACTTTTATGACGTTTTTTTTCTTTTGTATTTTTTTGCACAATTCTTTCCCATTAAGCGAATGACTTGAAAGTTATACAGCATGAACACTTGAAATGTACGCAAGGCAAACTTTTAAAGATCGACTCCTGCTGAAATTATGGTGTCATATTTTAAAAAAGGGAATTTGCATCATTGTAAGTGTGTATTGTACTGTACCATGGAACTGAACCTGTCAAATCTGTATGTATCATTATCCTTTTTAAATAAAATAATGCTTTCCATGCAAATGGGAGCAAACGTTTGAGTGTGATTATGGGTTTTCTATCAAGAATACTGGAAACTCTGTTCTTGCATGATCTATTTTGTATTAGTTGCAGGTAGATGTGAAACTGGTAACACTGGTAATGATTGTTTAAAAATAACAAATATGGCAGAATGTGATTTAGATTTATTAATATTATTAATACAGTCTCACATCAACATAAAAGAAATGTGTATATCTATATTGGAACTGCACAATGTTGGGTAAACATTTTATAACGTTAGTGAATATTTAACGTAAAGAATGGCTGTTCCAAAGGTGATGAAAAACACCCCACATAGTGTTTTAGTCTAAAATCACGATAGAACGAAAGAAGAACTGAAAAGCAAAATAAACTTAATCGTTTCAAATACGAGGCCTGTGTGGCACAAAGGTTGTTCACATGAGGGAGGATGAGCTGGCAGGAGGTGAAAGGGAAAAGGGGGAAATGCAAACACTTTGTCAATACCTGCAAAGTCTGAACAATTGAGGACAAGGAACCTTTCAAGGATTTACAGAACAGCATATATGCAAAAGATAAAACACGAACATAAAATCATTTTCCAGTACAAGCATAAAGGAATCATGACAGACTCAGTTCTTTATTAATGGAAAACATTTTCCTGTCATTAAATCTTTGTGATAAAAGTATAAATCCATTTTCTATATATATTCTGTTATTCATCAAAGCTTGAGGGATAGAGAGGAGTAAACCAACTCCAGAGTTGAGATCACTGTCATGTTAATGCACAAAGGTTAAATAGGTGTGGCCAACAGAGAACAACAATCCCACAGGAACATAAAGTCCTCTCTGTCTCAGCTGAAAATTCATTTCAGGAGATCGTAAGCAGCTGAGAACATGGAGACTTTGAAGGATTTTGGTTTCTTTCTTTTCTCCAGTCCCACCTCTGTACTTGGAGTAGGTCTCCTTTTCATAATCCTATATTTGGTGACTGTTGGTTCCTCCAGAGAAACAGGTAAAGAACCTCCAGGACCAAAGCCTCTTCCTCTGCTTGGCAACCTGCTGCAGCTGGATCTCCAGAGACCCTACAAAACACTGTGTGAGGTACTGACTTAAACTGTTCTGCAACATTTAAACCTGTTGGACATCTGTTTCATTCTTTTCTCATGTTTTCATCCAATCAGCTTTCCAAGAAGTATGGGTCTGTATTTACAGTTTATTTTGGACCGAAAAAAGTGGTTGTCCTAGCCGGGCACAGGACAGTCAGAGAGGCTCTGGGGCTATGCAGACGAGTTTGGAGAAAGAGAAATCGCACCGATATTGAGGGATTTAACAAAATATCATGGTATGTCCAGAAGTAGATCATAACAGACTTTTGCAAAAGTACTAATGAACTACTGTTAGACATTCTCACATTTTCTCTCATTACACCCACAGAGTTCAATATGTTTTATGGATTTTATGTGACAGATCAACATAAAAAGGTGCATAAATTGAGAAGTGAAAGAATAATTATATATATGATTTTAAATCAAGAAGATAAAAATCCGAAAAAATATGACATTCGTTAAGTTTTTTTTTCAATAATGAAACTAGTTCTGGTTTTGCAGAAGAAAAGTTTTTTTCCCTTTTGTCCTTGGAAAACAGTTAAATCTCAGTCAGAATGGGTGCAGATTGTCTGTGAACATCCATTTACAATGTATTCCAAAGATTCTGGGCTTTGTGTTTGCTTAAAGCATAACAACTTATTGTTGGTCTAACAGTAAAATCGCCAATGAAATGTATTTTTGTAACTTGACAAAATATTGAAACAAAGTTCAAAATTGATTATGTTCTGTTTACTGTATAAGGAATTCTGTTTTCAAATGGAGAAACGTGGAAAGAGATGCGTCGTTTCGCCCTCAGCACCCTCAGAGACTTTGGGATGGGGAAGAGTTGCAGAGGAGAAAATCTTAGAGGAGTGTGGGCACCTCATTCAAGTGTTTGAGAGTTATAAAGGTATAATATAATACTGTGTTTCTCTAAGAAATAGACATGAAATTCTTCATTGAAATGGTTCAATCATTGTTGTGGTGTAATAGTTCGTATTAATGAAGTACATTTTAATAGCAGACAGGTTAAAACAGCAACTCTCTTGCTCCACAGGGAAACCATTCAACACATCCCAAGCAACAAATAATGCAACATCCAACATCATCTCCTCCATTGTGTTTGGAAGCAGGTTTGAATATGATGATCCTCAATTCAGAGACTTTGTTCATCGAGCCACTGAGAATATTAAGCTAACTGGCTCGGCAGGAATCCAGGTAAGCTTAATGTTTCACTTAAGCAATTTGATACATTATTTACCAAGTTGCAAGTTGGTAAAGTATTTACCAAGGTAAATAATATATCAAGTTACTCAAGTGAATTTCAGTATTCGGTAGACCATGACAAAGTTAGATATATGAAAGGTAGAGACTGTGAAATTATTGTCTGAAGTCCAAACCCTGAGCTTACTCATGCCACCCATTATTTTACATATATAAAAATACATTAACTTCTCATAAAAGAGCTATTTGGATTTATGTAATTTTCATAAATAGTTTTTTTTACATCCATATGCTTAATTGAATTTTGTTTCCTGGGGTTTTATTTGACAGACCAACAAAATGTGAGGTGGAAGGATAAGCACACCTATAGGTTTAAAATGTTTTCTCATATAAATGTTACATTCTATTTTTATTTCTGACTGAATGATATTCTACAAGGACTGTCCATTAACTCTCTTTAATGTTAAATATTTGAACCAATATTACATTTTTATATTCTTGAAATATATTTTCCATAATTTGAAGCTCTACAATACATTTCCCTGGCTGGCTGGATGGATAAAAAGCCGTCAGGTTATATTAAAAAATATTGAAGAGACGGTGAGAGAAGTGAAGGATTTAACCCAGAAACTGAAAGAGACACTCAACCCTCAGACATGCAGAGGACTGGTCGACTGTTTTCTGGTTCAAAAGCAGAAAGAAGAGGCAAGGCAACACAAACCTATTTTTTTTAAAGAATAATGGCAACATCAAAATGTGTGGCACATGTACAGTATTCACACAGTTTTCTCTTTAGGACTCTTGTGTCAAAGACACTCAGTTCACTGAGGAGAATCTGATATATACAGTGGGAAACCTGTTTGCTGCTGGAACTGACACCACAGCTGCAACACTGAGGTGGGGTTTGCTGCTCATGGCAAAGTATCCACAAATTCAAGGTAAGAAAGAGGAGAAAACATTTGGGTCATTTTTCCTATGCCCAGCATGTCCTCTCACATTTAAATGTTGGTTAAAATAATATATAATCCAAACAGGTAACTGTTTTGAGGTAACTGAGATCCCTGGAGGGAGAACTGTTGATCATTTCCTTCTTGTTTGCTGCAGACCGGGTTCAGGAGGAGCTGACCAGGGTGGTTGGAAACCGCGAGGTTCATGTGGAAGACCGTAAAAATCTGCCGTACACTGATGCTGTCATCCATGAGATACAGCGGCTTGGTAACATTACTCCTATTGCAATCCCACATAAAACTAAACAAGACGTCACCTTTCATGGATATTTTATCAAAGAGGTGAGCAGGAGGGAAATATAGGCTTCCAACAGACAACATCTTCCAGATGATCATGCTTGTATATTTGTCTTCAGGGAACTACTGTGATTCCGCTGCTTGCTTCTGTTCTGTATGATGAGAGTGAATGGGAGAGCCCTCACACCTTCAACCCTTCTCATTTCTTGGACAAGGAGGGAAGATTTATCAAGAGAGATGCCTTTCTGCCATTTTCTGCAGGTAAAACAACTTTAGTTGTTTGTTAATCAATCAGATAATCTTTGTCATTCATGATTGGATGAAAATGCATTACTTGCAGGTCGCAGGACGTGTCTTGGTGAGAGTCTGGCAAAGATGGAGGTTTTCCTCTTCCTCACCTCACTCCTTCAACGTTTTCATTTCAAGCCTCCACCTGGAGTTTCTGAAGATGACCTGGATCTGACTCCAGCAGTGGGATTCACCATCCCTCCTTCTCCTCATGAGCTCTGCGCCATCAGTCGGCAGTGAAGAATGAAACACTACAGTATAGTTCATCTCTCTACCAGAACCCTGATGTCACTATTACATATTTTCACTTTAAATGTCTGCATGTTACTTAAATTTGCACACTTTATTTCAGGAGCTTTTTTTTTTAGCTATAGGCTTTATCCCTCACTTTCTTCTTCTCTTCTAGTGAGTTAATTTCACTGACATATATAAATGATGAAGAGATTCAGTTTGACTCCATGTAATTTTCTTATGACAAAGCAAATTATTACAGAGTCTGTAATAATTTAAGATAGAGTCGTACCTGAACATTGCTGAAACATCAGTAATGTGTCATATTGATTATGACATATTACTGAAATGATTGGAGAGCTGGGTAGGACTCTCTGGTCTAGAACTCAATTGTTTGAGATCTTACATTAAGAACATGGATTTTTTTGCATCAATATTAAACTTCTCATTGCAGCGGCAAGAAGTTTCCTGTGGGGTACCCCAAGGTTCAGTCCTCGGACTCCTTTTATTCAATACTTATATGCTCCCACTCGCTCAGGCAATAAGATTATCTACCACAGCTAAGCAGATTCACAGCTTCGTGGTACATTATCACAGGTGACTCTGAACCCATCCAAGCACTAAACAGATGTTTAGAACAGATAAATGTGTGGATTGTGATTGTGATTGACAGCGCTAAAACCCTCCTGTCTCTAATTAGTTGTTTCTATATAGTACTGGGAGAAGGCAGAGGAATAAATTTTTCACAGATTATCTCTCATGTCATACTGTCACAATGACTGTTTTAACAAATATGTAAAAAAATATATTTTTATAAAAGTTACGTACTGCAGCTTTAATTTCAGTCAGGAGAGGACAGGTCAGGAAGGAGATGGGCTACAGCTGCTGCTGACTGACTCATCTGTTGTTAAGTGGTGAAAGGTAGAAGGTACAAGTTCAACATATGGGTTAAAAATTGACACTTTTACCTTTTTCTCTCTCTGTCTCTCTATTTTTTGAAAACCTAACTTCATTATTTTTCTTAGCAGCATAGTAACTTCCACAGTCGTTCTTGTCTTCTGCCGTATGTTGCTGATCACCGTCACCTTTAAGAGCTCCAAGCAGGAACAAACTGTTTCATGCAGATCCAGGGTGGCTCAGGGCAAATGTTTGTTTTTTTTTGGTCTGGGAGGGGTAACATAACTTGGCGCCCCTTCTCGGTGGTGCACAAAGATTAGGTGGCCGTTTGGATTTGCAAGCTGATGTCGAGTTAAAATAAAACCTTTCACTGCCTAACAGTTGAGGAAAGCGTAACTTGTAATTGCAAAACAAGCAGCTGTCACTTTGAACTTTTTCCAACAACATGGACATGACCTGAAGTATAAGCTCTGCTAGGGGATGATTTCTGTACCATCTAACTCAAAAACACTACCCAAAAGATTCAGTTGTATGAAAAAGTGTTTGCTCCCTTCCCGATTTCTCATTTTTTGCATGTTTGTGACTTTGTTTCAGAAAATCAAAACAATTTAAATATTAGTCAAAGACATTACAATTAAAGGTGAAATGCATATTTTAAATGAAAGTATTTATTATTAAGGGATAACAATTGAAATCCTGCGTTAACATTAATAATCCCCAGTTAAACTATAACTCTGGTTTATCAGACCTTAATTCACTGTCTCTTGCTACACTCAAGCCTGGTTAGTCTCACACCTGTTCTCAAATAAGATATCCCTTAAATGAAATGTGCCTGATAAAGTGAAATATACCAAAAATCTATTTCTTCTAGAAATCATGCCTTGAAGAAATAGAGGACCACATGGAAAGGCTTTCAAGGCCATTAATTCTCTAAAGCTTTGACATTCCAGCAGATCACAGGGAGAACCTTTATCCACAAACAGCAAAAACCATGGAACAATGATGATTGAAAATGAACAAATGTGTATAATCTTGATGTGATAAAATGGTAAAATGCTACTGTTACCACATATGGAAAGCAGTTATATAATTAAAAATAACAAATACTGCAGAATAAAATTTAGAAATCTTTAGAAAATTTGATCAATCTTTTAATGTTGTAATACATACAGTCTCATATCAACAAAAAAAGAGAAATGTATACATGTGTATTAGAGCTGCAAAATGTTGGGTAAATATTGAATAATATTAGTGAGTGTTTGCCATTCAGAATAGCTGTTCCAAAGGTAAAAGACCCTCAGATGAAAAATCCAACACACACTGTTTTAGTCTGAAAGACTGATAGAACGAAAGAACTGAAAAAATGAAATAAAATAACCATGGATTGTCAAAATTATTAAAAGTATGTTAAACTCAATTCTACTAATCTATTCAAAGCAATCCTTAAATTAAACAAACAACATCTGCCTCATTGTTATGCCATGTTTTATTACAATCTCCAATAACACTCTGTCAAATATCAGGAAGAAATGAAGAGAGAGCTTTTTTAAATTTTCTTCCGAGCTGTTATGTTGCCCCCCTCGTGCGATGACGCCCAGGGCAGAGAGCCATAATACCACCTCTGGGAGTTCAGGAGTTCAGTCCGAGTTATGAGCTTTCCCTGTCTGCGTGTTTGTCAGGATAAAATAAAACCCCAGGCGGTGACGAGGCGCGGACTGACCTCAGCGGGATCTTCACCGCCAGATATCTGTCGATGGCGATGGCCAGCAGGCTGAAGATGGAGCTCTGAGTGAGTACCAGCACGAAACAGGCGACGGTGTGGAGCAGAAAAGCCTGGAAATCAGCCGGGAATGGGTTTTGGTCTCTGAGCCCTCGGGCGGCACAGCATTGGAAACGGATTAGCGGAAAGATGAGCTCAGGAACCGCTCAGCGGCGCTCCGAGTGAAATCACTGCTGCGTCCTAAAGTTAAATCTCTACCAGGACTCAAGAGCTCCCTGATGTTGCAACTTTTACGGAAAATTACAGCGTAGGATCAAGTTAGACCAACATGGTCCATTTATTTTATCACACCTTTATAGTAATCGGTGACTTAAAGCTGAAAAAAAAACCAGAGAATAAATAAGAAAAACCTGCTGCACTAATACAGATTTCTGATTTTTCTTTGTGTCTTGCTCAGTTTGACTCTCTGTTTAAGTAACATTCAAATTTATAGAATATGATTGAAAATAATCCATCCATCCATCCATGTTCTTACGGCCTAGTATGGGGTCAGGAAGTGTGCTGGTACCTATCTCCAGCGGTCAACAAGTCAGAGGCTGGGTCACCCTGGACAGGTCACCCTGGACAGGTCACCCTGGACAGGTCACCAGTCCATTGCAGGGAAACAGAGACACACGCACACACTCATTAAGGAGAATTTAGAGAACCCACTTAACAGTCATACTTTTGGACTCTGTGGGAGGAAGCCGGAGTACCCGGAGAGAACCCACCATGCACAGGGAGATGATGCAAACTCCATGCAGAAAGACCCCGAGCCAAGAATTGAACCCAGTACCATCAAACTGCAAGGCAACAGTGGTACGAACTATGCATCCCTTTTTAAGTAACATTTAAAGTGATCAAATATGACTGAAAATAATTGTTAAGGTAATTATTGGAGGCTTTTTGGGGTTGGGACCGACGGAGGCACGGAGAGAGGACTCGATACCAGGACCAACAGAGGAACAGAGAGGCGGAGGCACAGGGGGCGTCATGGAGCCGAGATCTACAGCCGAGATTGACATCTTCAAGAGGCATTTCATTTGATAAAATACCTCTTGAAGATGTTGGCACCAGAAGAAAGTTTTGAGAAAAAACTGCCCCTCTTCTTCTGGTGCTTTTCAATCTGGGTTAAAAGAGACGACACAATTGTGTCGTTGACGATCTCGTGCTCCATGAAGCCCAGAGCCCATCCGGCAGAACATCCAAAGGTTTCTCTGAGGTCCCTGAAAACCTTTTTCACAAGCCCAGGGACCCAGTCCACCTGGATTTCCACCGGATGGCTCTCAATGTCAGCGCAGATATGATGAACTATGCGCTCCTGTGCCTCCATCAGGGAATCAAGACACCTCCGTGTCTTTGACTCCCTGATGCCCAGACACAGCAACGACTTTACAAAAGTCGCACTGTGTCCTGTCTCTGTTCCTCTAGGGATGCCCTCAGTTCTTCGGCGCGTCTCCTTGCTGTCATCAGTTCATGGACTAAACTGATGACAGCTCGCGCCAAAGAACTGAGACCTAAGCCCGGCCTCAGAATCGACAAGGGGTCTTCATCATCCATGGGAGACATAGATGTTACGTGCTTCAGGAAAAGGACGTCAAGCACCTGAGCACAGTCTCCCTGGACGACTTCGTCGACTCCCATTGCCCGGGCAAAGGCCTGAGAGACCTGATCTCCGAACATGACTTTTATATCGCCATACTCGTAGTTCAGGTTCTCAGAAACGTCCCTGACAAAACCGGAGAAAACATTCATTAAATAACTTAAAAGGTATCTCGTCCTCTCTTCGATACCTTCATCCAGGTCCAGAAACTGTCGATCCAGCCAGTCGTCTTCATGTGTCTGATCGATGTATTCACTGATAGCATTTATGGCGTGTCCATCCACTAGCAACTGCACGTCTCTCCTCAATAACTCCATGTTTCTTCTGAACTAAACTTGATGCCTACTCTTCTTGAAATACCGTGGAACCTGGCAGAATGTTACCAAGCGGAGTTATTTATACCCCGTGTTACACAACAAAGCAGTATGTGACATCACAGCCTGTTCATGTTATTATGATGTCACAGACAACTTTCCTTTAAATTCTTAATGACGTTTTTATACTTATTTGTCTGTAACTCAATCTAAATTCTTGCTCAGATATAAAAATAAAAAAACTCTAAACTTAAATGGGTTCTCTGCTGGTCAATAAACACATTCAGCTGAACCTGGATTTTAATTTTGCAATCAGAGATGCAAGATGATCCCTGTTTACGCATAAAAGCAGGTTTCCTGTACGTTTCATCTGGATTTTCTCAACTAGATCTAAAAGTATGCTGGTTTTTATGCATCCAACTTATCTATCAATGCTGATCGAGGCGAAAATTGACAAATTTCTATTACTGGCAACGACAATAATTGATGCTCCATTAAATGTTTGGCATTTAACTCACTCACAGAATATGTATCAAATTGCTGAAATGCAAATCCTAAATGCTTCCAAAGTGAAACTTTTTTCTACCATCACAAAAACATGATGTAAAATAAGTTGGCGAAAAAAATTGACGATCATTCCTCAGATGTCAAGCTGTTGGATTTCTGTTGCTTTATCATCAAATGTCAGTCAAGTATGTAGGGAAGTAAGATGACTTTGTGCATCCTGGCACCTGATGAATTTCAAAGGACTGGCTGGATAAGCAGAGTGTAATAATGCAATTATCATTCCAAGTTTATATGAGGCATTAAGCTACATGGGGGATTCATCAGATCCCTGATCTGATTCTGATCTGTGCGTCTTTCTGAAGACAAAAATCATCTCATATGACGATGGCGTGAGTGAAGGTCTGCACGCTTCTGCTTCTCCTGCATTATTAGCATATATGATTAAACAGCTGAAGCTCCAACACTGCAGATAAAAGCTCATCATCACGTGATTAATTAGAGCACTGCTTGATGGGATTAAGCCTGAATCTCATTTCACTCCTTCAGCCTCAACCTTAAGGAGAAACGGGAGTTTGGTTCGTCTCTGAGGAGTAAATAAAGATTTATAGAGAATGGTTTCCTTCCAGGATGCAAACATGGAAGTGAAGGAGATTTAACGTCCATAAGTGAAAACGACTCCAGCAGCGTCTACTTTGAAACGTCCCAGAAGATCTAGTCGCCGTTAATTATTGGTGATCAGATGAAAAATAGCAAATATGCATTTTGAAAAAATTAATATAACTTTCATTTCTTCTCAACAAGCTCATAAAGTGAAAACATACTGTAGCAAGAACAAAATAATTTACACACCAGACCTAAACACTTATCTGATCATTAAACTCAAAATCCTTTTATAAACACATCACATCTTTGTGCTTGTAAAATATTGGACTCCAGTTACGGATCAAAGTTAAAAATGATCAGGCTGATTGATTGGTGCTTCTCTAGTTATGCAATATTACTCCCATATATGTACTTAGTCATGTTTTATCACACTTTATTTCCTTTAAATATGTTAGTACTACACATGAAACCTGTCATTTTATAAACTAGTGTAAATGTAAAACTCTTTAAATACTTTAAAGTAAATCGCAATTGTTCTGCATTACAAAGCATGAAAAAATACCATCTGCCTCTGTAACAGTTTATAGGATATTATTAGTCATCTTAATAGTGGTGCCCCAGTCTGATTCATATTTTAACCGCTCATGAATACAAATCGAACCCTTCCTGAAAAAATAAAACCACGGTTTTATAAAACTGGAATTATTTTTAAGGCTCTCTGCTCGATGTAAAGTAAAATCATTTTTAGAAGAGTTTGAAATGATGATCTATGTAATAAAGAAGAGACTTAAACATGGATATTATGTGAACAAATTCATTTTTTCTCTTCGTTAACTAAATCTCACGTATACAAAGAACTCCTTCACTGACAATCAGGCAAATTTAGTATTTCGTGACTTGGTAAAATAAAATTGTTTCAAATACGAGGCCTGTGTGGCACAAAGGTTGTTTACATGAGGAAGGATGAGCTGGCAGGAGGTGAAAGGGAAAAGGGGGAAATGCAAACACTTTGTCAATACCTGCAAAGTCAGAACAATTGAGGACAAGGAACCTTTCAAGGATTTACAGAACAGCATATATGCAAAAGATAAAACACAAATGAACATAAAATCATTTTCCAGTACAAGCATAGAGGAAACATGACAGACTCAGTTCTTTATTAATGGAAAAAATGTTCCTGTCATTAAATCTTTGTGATAAAAGTAGAAATCCATTTTCTATATATATTCTGTTATTCATCAAAGCTTCAGGGATAGAGTGGAGTAAACCAACTCCAGAGTTGAGATCACTGTCATGTTAATGCACAAAGGTTAAATAGGTGTGGCCAACAGAGAACAACAATCCCACAGGAATATAAAGTTGTCATGTAACCTGTGAGTGTTTATTTTGCATGGCACAGTGCTGCCACCTGCTGGACTTTCAGGGAAATGTTTTACGTTTACGTTATTTAGTCAGTTTGTTTGTTAACGGCAGAGTATACATTGTGAATGTCGTGTTCAGATCGAGTTCTTCGACGCAATGCCTCTATGTATACTTAAAAATGAGCGTTTATGTTAATGTGTGTGAAACAAAGCAAGTTATTCATAGATTTTATGTTGTTCCTGATTTGGCAGTTTCACTCCATTCTACGTGAATAAAGGAAGAGCTGTTTAATCCTGACTCGCCTAAAAGGAGTTTGGCTGACCGTTAGCTTGGGTCGGGACGCCATAGAGAGACCGTTACAAAAGTCCTCTCTGTCTCAGCTGAAAATTCATTTCAGGAGATCGTAAGCAGCTGAGAACATGGAGACTTTGAAGGATTTTGGTTTCTTTCTTTTCTCCAGTCCCACCTCTGTACTTGGAGTAGGTCTCCTTTTCATAATCCTATATTTGGTGACTGTTGGTTCCTCCAGAGAAACAGGTAAAGAACCTCCAGGACCAAAGCCTCTTCCTCTGCTTGGCAACCTGCTGCAGCTGGATCTCCAGAGACCCTACAAAACACTGTGTGAGGTACTGACTTAAACTGTTCTGCAACATTTAAACCTGTTGGACATCTGTTTCATTCTTTTCTCATGTTTTCATCCAATCAGCTTTCCAAGAAGTATGGGTCTGTATTTACAGTTTATTTTGGACCGAAAAAAGTGGTTGTCCTAGCCGGGCACAGGACAGTCAGAGAGGCTCTGGTCGGCTATGCAGACGAGTTTGGAGAAAGAGAAATCGCACCGATATTTGCGGATTTAACAAAACATCATGGTATGTCCAGAGGTAGATCATAACAGACTTTTGCAAAAGTACTAATGAACTACTGTTAGACATTCTCACATTTTCTCTGATTACACCCACAGAGTTCAATATGTTTTATGGATTTTATGTGACAGATCAACAAAAAAGGTGCATAAATTGAGAAGTGAAAGAATAATTATATATATGATTTTAAATCAAGAAGATAAAAATCCGAAAAAATATGACATCGTTAAGTCAATAATCACTATCTGGTTTGCAGAAGAAAAGTCCTTGACAGTTAAATCTCAGTCACAATGGGTGCAGATTGTCTGTGAGCATCCATTTACAATGTATTCCAAAGATTCTGGGCTTTGTGTTTACTTAAAGGATAACAACTTATTGTTGGTCTAACAGTAAAATCGCCAATGAAATGTATTTTTGTAACGTGACAACATATTGAAACAAAGTTCAAAATTGATTATGAGTTCTGTTTACTGTATAAGGAATTATATTTTCAAATGGAGAAACGTGGAAAGAGATGCGTCGTTTCGCCCTCAGCACCCTCAGAGACTTTGGGATGGGGAAGAGAGTTGCAGAGGAGAAAATCTTAGAGGAGTGTGGGCACCTCATTCAAGTGTTTGAGAGTTATAAAGGTATAATATAATACTGTGTTTCTCTAAGAAATAGACATGAAATTCTTCATTGAAATGGTTCAATCATTGTTGTGGTGTAATAGTTTGTATTAATGAAGTACATTTTAATAGCAGACAGTTAAAACAGCAACTCTTGCTCCACAGGGAAACCATTCAACACATCCCAAGCAACAAATAATGCAACATCCAACATCATCTCCTCCATTGTGTTTGGAAGCAGGTTTGAATATGATGATCCTCAATTTAGAGACATGATTCGTCGAGTCACTGAGAATATTAAGCTATCTGGCTCGGCAGGAATCCAGGTAAGCTTAATGTTTCACTTACTTGATACATTATTTTCCAAGTTGCAAGCTGGTAAAGTATTTACCAAGGTAAATATATCAAGTTACTCAAGTGAATTTCAGTATTCGGTAGACCATGACAAAGTTAGATATATGAAAGGTAGAGACTGTGAAATTATGTCTGAAGTCCAAACCCTGAGCTTACTCATGCCACCCATTATTTACATATATAAAAATACATTAATTCTCATAAAAGAGCTATTTGGATTTATGTAATTTTCATAAATAGTTTTTTTTACATCCATATGCTTAATTGAATTTTGTTTCCTGGGGTTTTATTTGACAGACCAACAAAATGTGAGGTGGAAGGATAAGCACACCTATAGGTTTAAAATGTTTTCTCATATAAATGTTACATTCTATTTTTATTTCTGATGAATGATATTCTACAAGGACTGTCCATTAACTCTCTTTAATGTTAAATATTTGAACCAATATTACATTTTTATATTCTTGAAATATATTTTCCATAATTTGAAGCTCTACAATACATTTCCCTGGCTGGCTGGATGGATAAAAAGCCGTCAGGTTATATTAAAAAATATTGAAGAGACGGTGAGAGAAGTGAAGGATTTAACCCAGAAACTGAAAGAGACACTCAACCCTCAGAAATGCAGAGGACTGATCGACTGTTTTCTGATTCAAAAGCAGAAAGAAGAGGCAAGGCAACACAAACCTTTTTTTAAAGAGTATTGGCAACATCAAAATGTGTGGCACATGTAAAGTATTCACACAGTTTTCTCTTTAGGACTCTTGTGTCAAAGACACTCAGTTCACTGAGGAGAATCTGATATATACAACATCAAACCTCTTTGCTGCTGGAACTGACACCACAGCTGCAACACTGAGGTGGGGTTTGCTGCTCATGGCAAAGTATCCACAAATTCAAGGTAAGAAAGAGGAGAAAACATCTGGGTCATTTTCTCTACATCTAGAAGAGATTTTTTCAGCCCTTTGCAGCCCTTTGAGATTTCTGTTCTTCTCATAAGGTGTAAAATATAAACCTGCCTCTTTGGAAATAAAGCAATCTCTGTAAAGAAGTTTGTAGGCAAACTGTCGATTCAAAATTCCTTCATGTCATTCTCAGTTAAGCATGTAGATGTTAATGGCTAATTTTATGCAGGAGGCTTAATGTTTTTTAGTTGGTGCAATATTTTTTCTCAATATGTAAAAGCTAGATGGTTTCAATGTTTTCATCTGGAAATAGAAATTGTAAAATATTGCATCTGCTAAACGTCAACAAAAATATTTGTGGTGACTACTGGAGAACTGTTGATCATTTCCTTCTTGTTTGCTGCAGACCGGGTTCAGGAGGAGCTGACCAGGGTGGTTGGAAACCGCGAGGTTCATGTGGAAGACCGTAAAAATCTGCCGTACACTGATGCTGTCATCCATGAGATACAGCGGCTTGGTAACATTGTTCCAATGTCGATCCCACATAAAACTAAACAAGACGTCACCTTTCATGGATATTTTATCAAAGAGGTGAGCAGGAGGGAAATATAGGCTTCCAACAGACAACATCTTCCAGATGATCATGCTTGTATATTTGTCTTCAGGGAACTACTGTGATTCCGCTGCTTGCTTCTGTTCTGTATGATGAGAGTGAATGGGAGAGCCCTCACACCTTCAACCCTTCTCATTTCTTGGACAAGGAGGGAAGATTTATCAAGAGAGATGCCTTTCTGCCATTTTCTGCAGGTAAAACAACTTTAGTTGTTTGTTAATCAATCAGATAATCTTTGTCATTCATGATTGGATGAAAATGCATTACTCGCAGGTCGCAGGACGTGTCTTGGTGAGAGTCTGGCAAAGATGGAGGTTTTCCTCTTCCTCACCTCACTCCTTCAACGTTTTCATTTCAAGCCTCCACCTGGAGTTTCTGAAGATGACCTGGATCTGACTCCAGCAGTGGGATTCACCATCCTCCTTCTCCTCATGAGCTCTGCGCCATCAGTCGGCAGTGAAGAATGAAACACTACAGTATAGTTCATCTCTCTACCAGAACCCGGATGTCACTATTACATATTTTCACTCTATTTTAAGAATTTGACAGTTTCTATTTTTTTAGTTACATGCTTTTTCTCTCCTGTAAATTGTGTTCTCATTTGTTCTAAGCAGAAAAATTCTAACAGAAATAAAGGTTTGAAAATCTATCTGTGTAGTTAATCTATAATGCTAATACAAAAGACAGCTACTAGTATCCATAGAAAGCCACAACCGCTGCTGTGTACTCCTGTAAGTGTGTCATCGACACAAACATTTATGTAAACTACAATTGACTTAATAGTCTTTTTATTCATATAATTTTTGTTTTCTGCATTAAAATTTGAGCCATTTCTGTTGTGTGTTCAAAACCTCAGGAGACGTGAACATGTTTATTTCTCTGAGTTTAAGATGTAATAGTTTGTGTGTTTAATTTGGAAGTCTAGGTGGCGCTGTTGCCCTAAGTAGTTGCAAGTAGATGAAAAGTTTAAGATTTTGCTAAACAGTAACAAGATAAGAGCAAAATATGTTGAACTTCTTCATAACTATGAACAGCTCTCTAGTAGTGTGAAGATACAGTTCTCTGACTAAATTTAATTGGACACTTGCAAATCTTTTGCTGAGGTCACTGTAATTACGTAATAGTGACCAAAAGGGTGAGTACGAGCTGCTTTATTGACATCTACTCTGTGCTGTCATGGCAGAGGCCTTTAGACATAATCGCTTTTTAAAAGTTTATGTGTCGCAGCCTTTCTGTATTGAAAAATCTCCGACAGGCAATACTGGTGAGTTGTATTAACTTCACTCATAAAAGAGAAGTGCAGTCAGTGTACATATTTAGACAACTACTGAATTTTAAAACAGTAGTTGTAGTATTTGAATATGACCAGTAATTATATTGGTCATATTATTAAGGCCAGTGAAATGGGCAAATTTAGCTGGATTTTCATCTCAATATATAAATTCGTTATGCTTTTGCAACCTACTGTACATGTTCCCTCGGCTTTTGCTTACTCCTGGCTCAGTGGTTGCAGCTACTGGCCTATACTTCAGGGAAAAAAGTTATTACTGGTTTTGATTCTCCTCCTTCATAATATTAAGTGTCAGGTTGTAAAACTGTAGTCTTGATCTTTTAAGTTGCTTTTGGTATAATTGCTTCTTTGTCTCCCAAGATTTTAGCAATCAACATCCCATCCCGTTACTGGAAACACTTTACATTATGAAATGATTACTCTTTCTGGATCAAAATCTGACTTTTATTAGTAAAACAGGTCAAAGTTATTTATATTAACTGTTTGTGTTGGATTTCCTGTTGATAGAAGACAAAATCACAAAAATATACAGACTCATGACTTGCATTAAATTGTGGCTAAGTTAAATCAGAGGACTTCAACAAAACTTAAAAATTTGTTATCTATTGCTGTACATATTGCGTGATAATGTTCCTCAGCAATAAATTTAATAAACACAGCTTCTTTTATATTAGTAAATGGACTGAACTTATATAGCACTTTTCCAGTCATTTTGACCACTCAAAGCGCTTTAGACTAGTCACATTCACCCATTCGCACACACATTCATACACCGATACGCAGACCAGTAGGCCATTTGGGGTTAAGTGCCTTGCCCAGAGGCACATCAACATATGGCAGGAGGACACTGGAGTCAAACCTACAACCTTCCGATTGCAAGACGACAACTCTGCCACACAGCCACAGTCGCCCAAGTAGTCCCAAAAATGTACCTTACACCGCAACGCTACAGCAAATTAAAACAAACACAAGTGCAAGTTCTTTCGGTGGACTGAACTTGTGTTATTTAAGGTCCTTCCACCTTGATGCTACTGAGTGAAGAGGAGTTCATGTCTTGCTGGGTAGACCCGCTGCAGTCCATGAAGGTCCTGGCAGAAAAATCTGCTGCTTTACTCTCCTGCGTTCTGAACGACTGAGTGTGTGTGTGGTTGTACGAGGAAACGTATGACTGTGTGTAGGGTGCCAGGAGGGCTTGACTGTTTTGCTGTTGATAACCAGCTGGATAAGTTTGTGACTGAGAGGAAGTTTGAGTAAGAGTAAGAGGAAGACTGTCTGTGTTGCTACATGGTGGAAACCCATTTATGCTTGGTGGGCTCATTCCTGGAACCTTAAAGGCCTCTATGCTTTCTAATCTCTCTAAAGAGTTGTAGCCTGACTGAGTCTGGCCACACTGAGAGAACGTGCCTGGACTAAAAGTGTACGTGTCTTGGCTAAAAGAGGTAGTGGCAGAGGCTGCTGGCAAAGACGATGGCGAGGGAGTTTTGTTGAGCCGTTGTGGGGTTCTGTTACAGAGTCCTGCTTTAGAGGAGAGTGTTTGGAGAGTGCTGAGGATCTGCTTCTGAATCTGCGTCTGCTGTGACTGCTCCCTTTCCAGGCGGCACTGCTGCTCCACCATCATCTTCACTGCCAGGCCGAGGCTGCGAACTTCAGAGCCAAGGGTCTGGATCTGGTCCTGCAAGCTACCTCTTGCTCTGGTGTCCTGGACCGCCGATGGAGGATTTGAATTCCCCTCGCCTTGAGTCCTGGGGGAGGGCAGACGAAGAACAGTTCCTGGAGATGAGGATGTCAAAGGCGCTTGCGGGCGATTAGGAAGGCGAATTCCGACACGTGGAGGAGGATGAAGGGAGCGGACACTCATTCCTGGTCTCTGTGCTGCAAAGCGCCGAGGGGAACCATTATGCCCAGGCTGCCCCTCCATAACAGTCTGAAACAATAAAAACACTTTATTTAGAAGTAGCTATGGTGGAACCTTCAAAAAGGATTGTTCAGACTTGTATTTATAAATTTATTGCCACTTCTCTCTTGGATGTTATTGTGTTGAAGCTATTTAATCATGACCACAAGTTTTAGATAAAAACAATACAAATGCTATTCCCAGTGAAACATAATATACAGGAACAGGAACAGTATTGCTTTTAGGCTTTTTAAAGTTTGTTGAGATCGAACCTTTTCAGTGGTCAGGTCATAGGTTTCCTGCTGCTGTGGTAGAGCACTGTTTAAATCTGAACTTTGAACGCCAGCCTGATCTCTCCTCAACAACGCTGCCATCTGGTGGAATGACTGGTAAATGTGAAAAATATATAACTACTTTAGCAATTTATACAGCTTTAAAGCAAGTCAGCAATTTTAGAATTGAGAAAACTCTGTATTTACCTTTGTCCTATGTGACAATGCTCTGTCCAAAAGTCTTTTTCGAGCTGCCAAAATTGAACTAGTGGCTGGGGAAGGTGTCACTCTTCTTCTCAGGAATGCTCCAGATGCCGTTAACGTGGAAGACAAGTTTGAACTTGTTTCTGGCCTTGTTACAGGTGGCTGAGTCGCCCTTTGCTGGCCATGCTGTGCAAGTGAAGTGACACTAACAATCTGAATGTCGTTTTCTTCCTTATTTCCACCGGACTGCTGCTCCGGCCTGCTGCTTCCGCTAGCCTCCCCAGATCCAGAGGTCTTTGAGGTGGTCTCTGCATTGGTGGATGCCTGTTTGGAGAAGTTAGCTGGAGCTGGATACTCAGTGTGATGAGGCCTGTCCCTCATCAAGTTCTGAAGGTGAATGTTGCTCCACCTCTCCTGCAATGCCCCAGCTTGCGCTTGAGCTGTTTGCGCCAATGTGCTACCTCCAGCCTCCAGAGGTCTAACCCTCCCTGGTGGTCTGCCCTGGAACTCCCTCAGGTACAGGTATATGGCTTGAGCAGACACCTTGATGTTCTCCAGCTCCAGCACAGCTTTGATTTTGCGGAAACTGAGGCCAGCCTTCCGCAGCTCCACCACTTTGTGTTTGGCAGCATCATCGAGTCGCCCCATGCTTGTTCAGTCTAGATAAATCCCCAGTTCAGATGATAATGGCTACATGAGTCAGAAAATAAAAGAAGTTAGTAACAGTTTATGTTTTTAAAGCACTTTTATCTTGCATTGTATTTACTGTAAGGACATCTTAAAACAACAAAGGTGCTTTTCGAAGAATATCAATATCAAGTCCCATCATGTTTTTGAAGAATGCCTGTTGCTTTGGATGTTTTATACAGACAGTGTATATTGGGATAAAATGTGTAGAATTCAGTGTGTTAAAATGAGTCAGAACAGAGTACTTTTGCCCTAATGTCAACAACTTTATTTCTTTACTTGATAATTTTGAGACAAAGCTGAAATGCACCTCATAGTCTATTTTGAGCTATCAAATAATTTATTGCTGAAATGATGAGAAAACAGACCAGAGTATGTCAGATGAATGCACTGAAAGTCCTCAAGATGCTAGGGTGAACTTGATCTTCGATGGTGCTGACTGAGTATCTGCATAGGGTATCACATATCTTATTAGAATGTAGTCACTGCTGCAACATTATAATAAGAATTATGTTGATTCTGCAGGACGTATCTTCCTCCACAGATAATCTATCAGATTCAAGTCAGGACTTTGGCTGGGCTTCTCAAAATTAGAAACTTTATTTCCAGTTTAAAGACATTTTGGTAAAATTCAAAGTTCACTTGAAATCTAAACCAGTTAGGAGTCTGATTGCTTAACTGCATATGCTGGCTGGCTATAGCATAATTATACATACAGCTGTTAATGTTAACTACTACTAAATTATTGTAGGATCTTTTGCAGAATGTGTGGATAATTGCTATAATTTCATCTCCTTTCTCTTCTCTTATTTACATATTTGAAAAAAAAAAAAAAAGATTTCCAGTACCAAAACACTGTTGTTGGACGTATTTTAGAATGAGTGCCTGTGACTCAGTTATCACTAGTCAAAGGCTTAGTGTAACATCCTTAAAGGCCATCTTTTAAGGATGTCTTATTGTTTCACTAATTTAAGGACATTTCTGGCACTGTTCGAATAGGATTCAAATAAGATAATTGTGTTGCATCCAGCCCTTGTATTGTTTATGTGCTTGCTCTGTTTTGCATATTTGATACTCATATTATATTAAATAAAGTAAAAAAAGTGAAACTGAACCAAAGGTTATGCATGACATTGTACTTCATCTTCTTCCTTTTTTTCTAATTTGTAATCTTTACAGTAAATAGAACAGAAGTTCAACATTAATCAGCTTCCCTCAAAAAAGCACCTTTGAAACTTGTCATACTTTGTCTTCAGTTGAGACATCTTGAGAAACTCTTTTCAGTGACACATGTTCAACAAGATTTATTGC